ATTAATTACCTACGAGTACTCTTAACATTGATTATCGTCTATTTTTTTCTTAATATCTTGAACCTGATCCTACTGATTTGAATCCACCTTCTATGCCTCCCACTCCCCACTCACACCTGCCCCCCATCGCATCCCGCCCGCATCGCATCCGGATCGATACAGGATGCGCACGCTGCACCAAGGGGGGCCGGAAAATCTAGACGCACAAATAGGGCGTCGGCCATTTCCCATCTGAGGCGACTATCGTCAGCACGCGTTTAAAACTTTCTTGATTTTAGTGATGTGCTTTGTTATTTTGTGTGTTACGGTCGATTAGTGGAATAGAAAATGGCGCATTTGTAAGTTTTTCTACACTTTCAATTCGTACAGATTAAAATACAGAATAAAAACCTACATACAAAATTTTTAATTTCTTTTTCAAAATTGTAACTCTTACAACACAACAGAGACCAGAGTTTAGTTTAGCTGTGCCGTCGTCTGTGCATTTTTGAGATGCACCCTTAGAAAAACAAAAGGGCTTTCCGTCCATCCATCCCGCGCTACACCCTCATTAGAACTTTCTCTTGCTCTTTCTCACATGCACACTGTCATTACAACAAACCACCATAGATTTGCCCGTTCATACATTTCATTCGCATGAAGAGTACTTCAATGCAAAACGGGCTAATAAAAAGAAAAAAAAATATTATTAAATTATCTAGATCGAATCGGGTAGATACGATAGAGTTTAGGTTTATCCTATTTGCAAAAAAAAGCTGCAGAGCCCTGCCCGGGTCGCAGCGGGGATAAGATATATTCACAAAAAAAATGGCGCTCAATGTAAGTTTTTTTTACTAAATTACATAGTTATCACATCATTTATATGAATTTATTTATTACACCACAAACCATTCTACATAAAACTGTCTTCTTGATCTGCACCAAACTCCCCATCGTATGTATTTGTCTTGCTCTAAAGTGCTTGCAATTAAATTTTGGGGCCCATTTTCGCCCGTTGAGCTCTACCGGAATCGCAGCCGGGATGCAATAAATAAATATTCGGTGCGCGCACTGCATTTAAGGCTTTATAATATCTAGCTCCCCGATCACGTCCCCCTCAGCCTTCCCGCGCCCCGCCCGGGCTGCAGCTGTATCGATTCGGGATGCGCGCGCTGCATCCAGGCGCCCGAATATCTAGACTAAAGAGAGTAGATGGGGTGTCGGACATTACTCATCTTCAGTTGCTGTCTGTAGCACGTGTTACTTTGTTATGACGTTTTTTAATTTTAGTGCTGTGCTTTGTTAAAACTTTCAAAAAAGAAATGGCGTGGAATGTAAGTTTTTGAAGCTTTATTAAATTGCATATTTATCATGTCATTAATACCGGATGCGCGCGCTACATCTAGGTGATCAAAATTCCAGACTTGCTACAACAGAAGTATAAATAATATTAAATACGTTATTTGTTGCTTCTCTTAGTTTTTTTTTCGTTAATTATTGAGCCTCATTTACCTAGTTCACTCGTGTAAAAAACTACCCGATCGCGTCCACCAGCTCTCTTGCACCCGCCCGGGCTGCAGCTGTATCGATTCGGGATGCGCGCGCTGCATCCAGGCGCCGAATATCTAGACTGTCAGATAGGGTGTCGGCCATTACTCATCTTCAGTTACTGTCGTCAGCACGTGTTCCTTTGTTGCGACTTACTTTATTTTTAGTGCAGTGCTTTGTTAAAATATTTGTAGTGTGTTGTAACTTTCAAAAGGGAAAATGGCGCTAAATGTAAGTTTTTCGAAACGGTACCAAATAGAAAAAAAAATTTTCTTATTTTACACAATTTTAAACGTGATAAGATTGAGCCTGCATCCTCACACTCGCAAGTATTTGTCTCGCTCTTCCGCGTTTGCAATTCATTGTTCATGCTTGTTCACGCCCCCGTCGCGACCTGTTGAGCGCTGCCCGGGTCGCAGTCCGGATGCAATAAATTAATACTAGATGCGCACGCTGCATCTAGGCACCTTTTTGAATCATGTAAGCGCGTTTAGAAAAGTTAGTGTTAGTGTCATTATTTTGCTTAACTGTCTTCTAATCTTTTTTGGAACTATCAAATTGACCTAGCTAACTCAAATTCAGGCCCCGCCACGCCCGTTTTCAACCCCCTTGCATCCCGCTCGGGTCGCCCCCCTCAATCGATCGATACTGGAAGCGCGATGCATCTAGCGCGTCAAGATATCTAGACTCAGGTAGAATGTCGCACAAACACAGCACACGCAAAGGCGTGTTTAGGTGACACTTCGGTTTCAGTGCTGTAAGAAATTTCGTTAAATTTTAAGCTACATTATGTCCCTCTTTTTCTCGCTTGCACCCTTTGCAAGTACGTGCCGACCTCGTCCCCGCCCAAACCGGTTGCACCCCGCCCGGGTCGCTCCGACTTCATCAATCAATACAGGATTTGCGCGCTACTTCTAGACAGAGCATCTGTCGCCAGTCCCGAGCTTTAGTTTCTACCGAGACAACGTCTCTTCATTTTAGTACAGCTTGATTTTTATTTGAGTGTAGTATTCTTTGTTGTGATTTCCCAAAATGGCAGCAACAGTAAGTTAATAATTACATATTTTTTACCATTTACTTTTTGCCACATAAGCCAAAAACCATACTAATTGTATATTTGAAGCCCCATCCCCTTGGCTCACCCTTGCAAAACCCTACGTTAAAACTTTCGTACCTCTCTTTCTCGCTTGCACACAATTTTCCGCCCGCCCACGCCCCCGCTCAAATCTGTAGAGCGCTGCCCGGGTCGCAGCCGGGATGCAATCAATCAATACCACTTGCGCGCGCTACATCTAGGCCGTCGAAACATCTAGACAGCGCATCTGTCGTCAGTCCCCAGCTTTAGTTTGTACCGCGACAACGTCTCTTAATTTTAGTCTCGCTTGATTTTTATTTAGTGTAGTGTTATTTGTTGTGATTTCCCAAAATGGCAGCAATAGTAAGTTTATCATTTACTTAATATTGGCACAGTTTGATAGTTTTCTTAAATAAATACATTCCTTTTTGTCACGCAAGACACCATCCATATACAAGCACTCTGATAATATTCCCCCCCTCGGCTCACCATTACAAACCTCCATGTTAAAACTTAAAACTTTGTACTGCTCTTTCTCGCTTGCACACAATCTTCCGCCCGCCCACGCCCCGCTCAGACCTGTGGAGCCCTGCCCGGGTCGCAGCCGGGATGCAATCAATCAATACCAGATGCGCGCGCTACATCTAGGCCGTCGAAACATCTAGACAGATCTGTCGTCAGTCCCCAGCTTTAGTCTCTACCGCGACAACGTCTCTTAATTTTAGTATCGCTTGATTTTATTTGAGTGTAGTGTTCTTTGTTGTGATTTCCCAAAATGGCAGCAATAGTAAGTTTATCAAATCTTTTCTCAAAGTCTATCTGCTATCTCATTAACCTCGGCCCCACCTATTTATATTTTACCCCACGGCGTCGAGGCGCCCACGTAAAAAACAAAATCAATACTAAATACTCTGTATCCAGGTCATCGAAGTGTCTATTACTTGAAACAGGGCGTTGGTCAATCAATAACTTCATTACAACCGTAAACTAGATCATTTATTCCGCCCCTATATCGCCTTTGCGTTCGGGCGTGTGCAACAAATCGATGCCCGATGCGCGCGCTGCACCAGGCACCGGTGGTCTAAGCCCAGCCCGGGAGTCAGTGCTTCAATCAGTCCCGCACCTCGTAGGCGCGTCGATCATGTGGGTGCGGTCAGTTATTCTTTTACTCCTAGTTGTATCCTTATCAGTAAAGTGCTTAATCATCTACTATAAATACTATTGACCCTCATTTGCGAATTTCCTAAAACTGTCATGCCTACTAGTTTATTATTATTTATTACTAGTTGACCCGGCAAACTCTGTTCCGCCTTAAAGGCTATAAGTAAGCCATCGCAATTTTTCCTTATTTGCTCACCGTTTAGACCTACCCTGGACTACGACAAACATTTTAAAACCAAAATCAGCTCAATCGGTCCAGCCGTTCTCGAGTTTTAATCAGACTAACGAACAGCAATTCATTTTTATTTAGATTAGTTTCCCAGTCATCTTATGTTGACGTCTTAGAATGTCTCCTGGTTCCTAATATTTCTGAGGCATCACTTCATTCACTATAAAGTACGCAGTAAGAACAAAGGCTGGCATCCAACGAGCCATGCTCGGTCTCGCCCGTCCCCGCACTTAGTGCTTTCGTCCTTCCCCGGCCCCCGCGCTCCAGGTCATACAGTAGATCAATACGGGATGCGCGCGCTACATCTAGCCGCCGAAGCATCTAGACTTGGGCAGGGCGTCAGTAGTCGGAGTGAGCGCTTACCGTAATGACGTCTTAGTTCTTAGTTTAGTGTTGTGTGGTCTGAGGTTAGAGTATGGTGAGTTCTAAAGTAATTGAATTCTACTTTCATTAATTCCAAATGCTAAATTACTGTATCACCATAATTGATATCAACATTTTTAATGTGGCACTACTCTACGCTTGTAATATCACAATTGCGTCTTTGTTATCCTTGCTTTGTCCTACACGTATCTTCTAGACTTGCGAGTCCTGCCCGGGCTCGCGAAAATCGATAAAGGATGCGCGCGCCAGTGCCCGGTCTAGATGCGTCTAGGTCGTTCAGGTCAAACGAAGGGCTGAGAGAAATCAATATAGGTTGCGCGCGCAGCATCCCGGCGCCGAAGCGTCGAGACTTCGGCGAATGACGCGTCAGTTTTCGGCACGATGGCGTTTTATGCCGACACGTAGGCTGTGTTCTAAACTTCTAAAGCAATGAGCAATTTAAACTTAAGACTTAGGTATTTAGAAGTCAAGTACTGTTCATATGTGCTGTGCGTTATACACAAATTGTTGTTGCTTGTGTGTGCTAGTAGCTAGTGGCGACTGTCCTTTGTTATTGCGTCGCGACTGAAACCATACCCGAGTGTGGTGCGCCATGGACTCACGTTCCGTCTCCGTTGTCCACAGAAGGCGATACAGTTATGCACTTGAAAGTCCTGGAGGTGCGGAAGGACCCAGCGCCGGTGCACGAGCACGATGTGCCCGTGCTGGTGGCGTCGGTGGGGCTGCCGCGGCCCGGCCGGCCTCAGCGGACTGTGCCGCCCGAGGGCGCCGAGCCGCCGAGCGAGCACCTGGACGTCGAGGACGACGAGCCGTTTGAAGTTGACCTGACTGCCGATTGGGACCTTACTACCAGACAAGTAAGTCGCTTTTTGTTCCTCATTATATTTCCTTGACTGATTTAAGGTCCTATGTCCCCTAGATGGGGCAGAGGGCGTCCACAACAGTCCTCCATCGCGTTCGGTCTTGAGCTTCGCGTTTGATCTCGCTCCAAGTCTTGCCGATCTTCTTCGCCTCGTCTGCCACAGTGCGCCGCCAAGTGTGCGTTTTGCTTGTGGATGTGATCGGGATCCCTTCGGAGAGTGTGGCCAATGCAATTATATTTCCTTAATGGCTAATAATATATAAATTTGATTTTTTTTAACTTGTGTGACATTCGATTTGTTTTACTGCTCCAGCAATAAAGGCTAATTTTGTGCTTCCATGTTTTCCAGCTGCTTCCTTACATTAACGGATACAACCACGTTTCGAAAATTGCGGCGGACACCAACGTTGAGAAGACATTAGTGAAATCATGCATCCAGAACCTGCTGTACTACGGAGTCGTAAGTTGAATACTTATGCATTCCTTTAAAATCTGATTCATACATCAAATACGATTTGTTGTGTTGTCATTACATTGATATTAACATCTATTTCGTACAATTTCCAGGTTACTTTGATACCGGTTCTGAAGTACAGCAACATGTACCGGGCCACCCCCAAACTGAGCCGTTTATTCGTCGATCACGAGTTGCAGAAGTCGTGCATCACCTTCATCACCAACGGATCGGACGCCAGGGAAAAGGTTCGTATCATCATCATCCAAACAATTAATGATACTTTTGTGAAATGAATGTATTGACTTTACCTCACTAAATAAAGTCATCATCATCATTTCAGCCATAGGACGTCCACTGCTGAACATAGGCCTCCCCCAATGCTTTCCATGTTGATCGATTGGTAGCGGCCTGCATCCAGCGCTTCCCTGCTACCTTTACGATGTCGTCGGTCCACCTTGTGGGTGGACGTCCCGGTACGCGGCCTGCATTCCAGAACCTTTCTGCCTCATCGGCCGTCAGTTCTGCGTACTATGTGCCCTGCCCATTGCCACTTCAGCTTGCTAATCCGTCGGGCTATGTCGGCGACTTTGGTTCGTTTACGGATCTCCTCATTTCTGATTCGATCTCTCAAAGAAACACCGAGCATAGCCCTCTCCATAGCACGCTGTGCAACTTTGAGCTTCTGTATAAAGCCCATAGTGAGAGGCCACGTTTCCGAGCCATAAGTTATCACTGGTAACACGCATTAACTTACTTGACTTATGGTCCTATGACCCCTAGATGGGGCAGAGGGCGTCCACAACAGTCCTCCATCTCGTTCGGTCTTGAGCTTCTCGCTTGATCTCGCTCCAGATCTTGCCGATCTTCTTCGCCTCGTCCGCTACAGTGCGCCGCCAAGTTTGCCTGGGTCGACCACGTTTGCGTTTTCCTTGGTGTAACACGCATTGGTTGTAACTAAATAAAGTACCTTAAGGCGCTACCTCGTAAAAGTTTTCGGCCGACTGAATGCCTCGCACACAGAGGGATAGAAATATGATTTCTCAGTGCGAGGAAAAGGGACAGCAATAGCGCGCGCGGCGCGGAATAAAATAACGTAAGCGACAAATCGGAAATCATGTATTTATTGAAAAACCAAACACTATTTAAAAAAATAACTCGACCAGTACTTAGAATATGTTATTACCTTACCAATATACAAAATTTGGTATTGAAATATTAGCCTATCTGCTTATAAAACGAAAAATCGAGTAATAGAAGGGTCATCTTTGGAATTTTTTTCTATCGAGAAAATTGTTTCCATTCATGTTTCGGCTTCGACCAGACACTAGATTTATTAGTCAACTATGACATATTTCAAAATAAGAACATAAGTAATAAGAAAAGTACGATTAAAACTAATCTGCGCTTCTTTAAAACGCCCAATATTCGCAAGGCATCACCTTAAAGATTTTTTCTTGTTTTTCAGCCTGTCATGACGGACGTGTTGGACATCCTTTGCTCGCTGCAGCAGGGGACGACCCTGCGTGCGGTGTGTGAACGATACTCCAACACCCCTGGCGTCGCGTTCGATGTCCGGAGGCTGGTGGTGTTCGCTCTGCTCCACAGCCTTATCCAGTGCCTTAAAAGGTATGTATGGCTGTAATCAGCTCAGCGTTGCCAGACGTCCCGATTTTTAAATCAAATTTAAATGTCCCGCGCGGGACAGGCTCTGTCCCGCTTTTCGGAGAGAGACACTCACTTCACCAGACTATTGTTTGAAACGCCATATTACTCTAAAGAATATTTTTTTTATTTCGATTTTTCTTTTTTTTTTCTTTTTTTATTCTAAAAACGAATTTAACGATAGAGTAAATCTGATTTAAAATATTATTTTTTTGTTAAAATACATTTTCTATGGCTACTTTTGCTATCCACTGTCACGTAAACGTAATTTTAAGTCAAATAAAAGGATAAATATTTGAAAACCTTTGATTATATTACGTTTTTTTACTATGTCCCGCTTCTGACGGAAGAATCCCGCTATTTTCACTCAAAAAGTAATAAAGTCCCGACTTGGCGAAAAAAAACTGGCAACGCTGAAGCAGCTCGATACTCGTGTGATAGGCGATTAAAGCGGCTGCTCTCTTGAAGCTGAGCGAAGACGGTCTAACTCAAGAATACCTGCTAGCGGCGAATGCTCCTGAAGACTCGATGAACTCGGCGCCGGTACAGTTTCTACTTCACCAGCGCCGGCTTGATCAAGCCTTTGCAAGCATAGCATCAAGACATGTAGTGTCTTTCACCAAACTGCTCGAAGCGAAGTTGACGACTCAACGACGAAAACTCACGAAGATTGGTCCGGTAGTTTTCACTGTACATTTGTTGTTACTGACATTGTTCTATTGCTTCATCGTTGTGAATGCTTGTCGACTAAAGCGCGGTCCGTGAGCACGTAGAATTTTTTCCAATGACCCCTAGCTACCCATCCTTATTGCTCGCGCTCACACACTCACTGCGGGTGTGAGTCGCACAGTCGCGACAGCAATATAATTACGCGCGAGCGATAGGGATGGGTAGCTAGGGGTCATTGTACAAAATTCTACGTGCTCACGGACCAGACTATACATTAAGATAATGAAATTCGTTAAGTTCTTTGAAAGCAAAACTAGTCTAGGCAGGTGAGATAATAGTGATGTCTCCGACTTCAGATACCCGGTGTTCGTCCGCTACACTGCGCGCCCAAATGGCTACAACGGCCGCTTCGACAGCCTCGGCATCCGGCGGCTGTTCACGGGCCAGCATTGCACCGACGAGATTTGTCTCATGGCGCGTATCGACCTCCCCACCCTCGAGCAGATCATCGAAGAAGACCCTAACGTCGCGGTCATTTGGAGGTAACCAGGAACGTGTGTACCCGTCAATGGACCCACTTCGTTTGCGCATCTTTTGGATTCGTTGCTATGTATGTTAGGTTAATGTTAGGTTTCGTTCGCGACTCGCTCCCGATGGTCCTGCTTCGTCTATCTTCGGCTGCGACCGGCACAGACGCAGACGTGTGGGGCCGAACGTTCGCGAAATAGGACCCCGTTCATAATTCTCTAATTCCACCCACCTATCAGCTTGTGAGTGTACGCTCGCGCACGATACGGCTGCACTTTTTCACACTGAACGCCTTGTGTGCTCGGTTTCTTTATTCAAGGACTTATCGTTGTGTGGTTCTCTTTCTGCTCTTGAAAAGTTGGACAGGACATGCAACCGAGAGTGCATTCGACGAATCCGTCGTCTAGTTCTTTCTTTCTTACATGAGTGTTAAGGATCACCACTGTCGATGATAATGTTTTGAATTTTGAATCCGATATTACTAGCCGTCGACTGCGCGACTGTACAACTAGGTATTGCGTAGGGAGGAAGCGAGGTCGTGGAACTGTTGGTACTTTATCCTCCAAGTCCCTCCCTTCATCGCGGGGTGGGTAGCACGGGTGCCGAGCACTCGTGTCGCTCATCAAGCATCTTCATCGTTTGATGTAATTTATTTGAAAAACGTTATATTTATTTTCATCATTGTTATCGTTCGTCACCTTATTTATAATAGTCATTTAGGTGTAAGCGTTTGAATGCCGTCGATAGGCATTTAAGGTTAGGATAAGTCGTTAGTCGTGCTAAGATCGTCACGCCTGCCAACGTAGCTGCACATCTTCGTTCGCAGCGGACCCTCTCTATATCTTCGTTCCAAATTACTCTCTTGTTCATTCACTAAAATTTTGCTTTGACCGCGGACCGTCTAAAACTCCTCAACACATCTTCATTCTGACCGCGGGCGTTGTCTGTCTCACCTGTCACCTTGCAATTTTCTTGAAAAACTTTTGTCTTATTATCTTAACATCTATCGGCTAGCTTATGGTGAGTCTTATCTCGTCCTTCACGCGGCTTTAAGTAACTCCAAGTACCGTGTGGTCCACAATCGTCTTGCAACATAGATTGTGCTCAAGCTAGCGAGTCTACTCTCACCCTTAGATGTGCAGCTTGGCAGCCTGTTTGCTTCACATATCCCCCAGTCACTCCCTTCCCAATCATCTTCACGGTTTGGTGTATTTATTTAAAAAGCGTTATATTTAAATTCTTAATCGACATCATTGTGCATCGTTTTAATTTGTAACATTGAAATGCCATCGGTAGGCATTTAAGCATAGGATAGGTCGAATCGTTGATCGTTAGTCGTGTTAAGCCACCGCATCGTCTCCGCTTTGTTCGCAGCGGACGGACGCCGCGACCAGCAGCCGCCCGTTACGAACTCGAATCCTATCTAATCTATCTTCATCCCACGAAATAACTTCCTAAAATCTTGTTCCGATTGCGTCATCTAGACGTTTTGCAACCTTCCCAAATTCTAAATTCATTTAACTTTATCTTCATGTTGGCCGCGGGCGAAATCGATCTCGCCCGTTATTATAATGTCCTAACATCTATCACGGTAGTTTCTGGCCGAGCCCTGCCACAACGGTGACGCGGTATATATCGTGCTTGAGTTGCCATTTTGTATGAGCTTTTATCAGACAAAATACTCAACTTATGTCACTGTGTGGTTTATAAACGTTTCATGGCTGTGACAGTGTTCGCTCAGGGCACAGGCTATCGTGAACTTCCCTTACCTTAGACGCGGAGCTCGGTGGCCGTTGTATCGTGTTATTACTTTACCCCCGGTTATTTATTTATCGTCGTTCCCCTCCCCTCCCTACCCTTATACCTCCCTTCACGAACATTCACGGTTTGGTGTAACTTTATTTAAAGAATCGTCGTATTTATTTTCATCATCGTCATACGTCCTTCATCGCCCTTACTTATAATGTTTAGGATTAGGTTAGGTCGAATCGTGTTAAGGTCGTAAACGTTCGTTCGTACCCGCTACGTTCGCCGCTAGCTGCTCGCGCGCGAACGTTCGCAGCGGGCGATCGCTCGACCTACCGCTCGCCCGTTACGAACTCGAATCTATCCTCTCTAAATCTAACTTCATTACAAAAGGTCTTCCGAATCCCTTCTTCCGGTAAAGTCCTGTACCTTTTGTTTCGGGCCTCCAAATTCTAAAATCTGTATTCTTGGCCGCGAGTGATCTCACTCGCCTTTTACTAATCATTCTTTGGAAAATGTTTGAGTAATTCTAGTCTTTCGTCTACGTCGCGCTAGTTCACGCAGAGCATGAGTAAGATCGAGGTATGAGGTGCAATTTTGCGTGATTTTAATCAAGCAAAATTGTGCCTTATGTTCTTGGATCTACAAGTCAGACCAGCGACGCGTTGCTCCGATTGAACTAGTGTCAGCTTCTCTAGGCCAGCAGCCGGCGGCTCGTATCCACCATTACTTTGCCCACGTTCCTTTCCCGCGTCGCCAGTGTTGCAATACAGTGAACCCGTAAAACCGATCTGTATTATCCGCTGGAAACGCTTAACGTAAATATTATTTTCCGGCATTCACGTGCTTTCTAGGTATCGAATCGCGCATAGATAAGATATTTAACCACAGTTGCACTTATTATTATAGAAGATATTGTTTGGTGTAACGCTGCCAATGCATTTAGAATAATAGATATAATTAGAATACTACTGGAGGTACCTCGCTACGAGTGTTGTTTTGAGGTATCTGCTCTTATTTTAAGTCAGCACATTGGTTTAAAGTCACAAATCCTTGTCCGTTTAGGGTACTCCCCTCGTATCCATCCGCACAGTTTAAGTGAATCTCTCATTGTCAGCACTGTTTAGGTTAACCAGTCATAATTTTCTCAGCACAGTTCAGGCAAATCTCCCGTTATTGTCAGCACCGTTTAAGTCAAACCCGTCATCGTTTATCAGCATCGTATCACTAAAATTAGGAATTATAGCAATAAATGAGTAATAATTTTTCTGGAATGTGGCGAATACAGAAGGTTTTTGAGAGAATTGGTCATGGGAGGTCAGAAGGTCGTTCTATCACGAACTCGCAGGTAGCCTATAAATAATGTCTGTTAAGATCCGTAAACATGCAACACCTATTATACCTTGGGTTTGGCTACGTCATACTATCGACCGCAATCGCAACCGCAATGTCCAATCGCGCGATCTGACACCGGCGTTCACAGGCCGCAGCAACAATGCGTGCACGTTCAATAATAAATTTAAATAAAATAAAAATAAATTCCACCATGCATATTCCACCATGCATATTCCACCATGCATATTCCACCATGCATATTCCACCATGCATATTCCACCATGCATATTCCACCATGCATATTCTACCATGCATATGCATACCAACAGCAGGCTGCGGTCGAATGCGGTTGCTCTGCGGTCGGTAGCGTCAATAGCGAAGGTCGGTGACGTCACTAAGATCAACACCCACCACAGACTGCGAGTATAACAACTGAATGGCAGAAGGTTTACTTTGGGAATGAATGAACATTATTCATTCATAGCCCGAAAAGGATTGAAGCTTCCGATCGAATTAGAACGTAGAATTGAGCATTGAGTACTTAATTGAGGAATTTTATCCTGGAAATATTATGAAATTAAAACCGGGGTTCGTTCTCATACGAATGATATGTGATAACTTCAAAATGCTAAGAAGAAATTAACAATAATTTTTTGTACCGTTTTATTGACTAAGGCTGGGTTGCACCATCTTATTTTAACTTTAACTTTAACAAACGTCAAAAGCCTATCAAAGTACACCGGTTATAGTTAAAATAAGGTGGTGCAACTCAACCTAATTGTGTAAAATGGTCGAGGAAATGTATAACATCTGCACTAGTACTTATCATCATAATGAGCGCTGTGAAAATTCGAAGTGGCGGTCTTTGTGAACGAAAATAATCTAAAATTAATTATGTTAAACGAATGAAAGTAAGTGAAGGTAGGGCTCAGGACTGTCAGTTGTTGTAGTCGGTTGTGGTGTGTTGTTCTGTCACTCAGAGCGATACTATCGCATTACAGTTTGGTTAAGATCCGTCTATACATACACCTTCTGTGTCGGACGCGACGGAAACAAATACTAAGCAAATTAGTTTTTAAGCGAACGTGAGAACTAGTGAGCGAGCTAATGGGCGTAAGAACAAACGAAGGCCCTACTCTTGAATAGTTATCTAAACGGCTCGGAAAAGGAGTCCCTTAATTTTTGAATTACAATTAAAAAAAATTAACAATGGATGTGAACTCTCCCGAAACATAGGCAAATAATGTTGTGAACAATATTCATAAATCTACAAATATACAGTTCGTTAGAAAATAAAGCTTGATTCCGACTCACCACTCGGGGATTGAAGGGACTGATTGCTAAAGCTTCACTCACAGTTCTAAGCTGGTCTTGCCAAGGTATTGGCTGAATTGAACCTACAGGGCTTCCAGCTTATTCACACGATACAGCCGCGAGGCCGCCGGCGTGTGGGGACAAATATAGAGTATTTATTGAATCACTGACCGAGCTATTTTTATGTAAGGAATGGCCATGGCTTCGAGCTAGCGGCTTGGCGATTGAACGTGTGAACGAAGCTGGCTGGAAGAAGTAATATTTGGGTGCGTAAATGTGTAATTGGCCCTGTTTGCTCAAGGGGATGTATGTTTATGCTCGGACTGTACACGCTAAGTATTTGTTTCCGTAGTGGCCGGTAAAGGCACCGTCGTATTCGTGACGAACGACTTCGAAATGTATTCGGCGTGGTATAATCGGTTTTCGAACTGGAATACAAAACTATAATTATTATTGTTCCTCTAATGGCACACAGCGAACGTGTGCTATTCCTACTTCGACTCGAACCTACTTAAGTACTTATTATTGGTTGTCGCGTACGGTTTTGTATTGCACTCGTAGTTTTAGTTTTTACAAAGTATTATCATTTTAAAAACGGTTTACTTAGTTAATTTTTTTAGGTTTTAAATTTTCTAGTTTATGTAATCGTTTGACGATTTATTTCAGTTTAGGTCATTATTTATTTCTTTATGTTAAAAACATTTTCGATGCGAAAAAATTTAGTTTGCGCGTAGCGCGTTTTTAAATTATATCGTTTCACATGAGGCCTTTGAAAAGATTATATGAATTACATATGTTTATCTTACATTGCAATATTATTTTTGGTTGCAGTTACGGTCAAATTTCGCATGATTTTATTTCCCATGAAAAAACATCTAGGATCTGGGGATGTATTTTCGAAAATGGGGGTTTGGAGAAGCGTAATTTTATTTCAAAACGTTTGTACGTACGATTTCAAAATTTGAGACGATATAAAGAAACTATAAGGGAGATGCTACGAAAGTTGTCGTGATTTAAGAGCTGGCACACGGATCCTTTCGTACGAAGGATGGCAAGGGCCGATTGGTTTGCAACACGTTAAAACCCCATGTAGGTACCTATTACCATTTTCAATTAAATCTACTACCATTCATTCGTAATAGTTGCTCACTCTTAATGTTTAAATTAATATTTCAGAATTTATAATAACTTGCAATTAAATGTGTAACCGAATCAGATTATCTTCCTAAAAGTATTAATCGTCGTAGTTTATTGGTAGTACTTGTTCATCAGTGGCTAGCCACTGCTTTGTCGCTTGGGTTGACGCTACATTAGCCGTCAACACCCACCTTAGCCTTTTCTCGTAACCCATGTTATATCGGGTGTTTCCTTCATATACCGATGCCGAGCCTTGTATGCTCCAGCATCGACGGACTATCTTCAATAATCGACATTTACGACCTATTCCTTCACATAACCGACACCTTTCCATAAATTGTAATGCACAGTTGTACGTATATTATAGCCTAAAATTTTATATGATATTCGTGCCTTATCATAGTTCTACGTCGCTGTGCAAACCAGTGCGTAATATATTGATCTCGTTCAAATGTCTTCCAAAGTTGATTAGATTGCCTTCCGTGTTTGTTTCTGGCTTAGGAGGTCGGCCCTCGCGTGGAATATCTCACATTGAGGTTTGCGACGCCGACTGTCCCTATTCCTTCTGCTTTTTAAAGTCAGTTGCGTTGTCTAATTATACCAGGCTCCTGTCGACTCCTTGTAGGCACGGCACTAGTGACCGGCCGTAATGTCGACATGTCAAAATTTCAATAATACTTGTCCTTGTCTCTAAGCCTCCTCCAGGATTAGTGTTGTTTGCTTATTACCTAATACCGATATGCCAAGTCAATTTCATCGCTGGTTTCACGAGTGTTACTTTAACACATTGGTGTTAAACATTATTTACTATAACATCACCGTTCCAGGTTAGGACATACTACGAAATCAGTTTCGGTTAAGTGTCTTCTGATGTCACTGTCGCGGAATGTGTACGCACTCAATGAAAACAGCCACCACAATTCTGCTGAGTTGATCGTTTCAGAATGATTTCTCAGATTAAGCCTAAGACCACCTTGGCAACCAGAAATGGTGACAAATTCTGTGCGCGATTACAATAACAGAAAATTAAATGAGGGATTGACACTGACGGCTCGGTATCTCTGTGTGTTTATCTCTTGTTAGTGTATCTCCGTGTCTCTTAAATTATATCAAAATTTCCCTATACAGGGTCGTCATCCGCTGTACGTCAGCAAAAGGCGATGCAACTCACGTTCGTTGAGTATCTTGTCACTGTCTCTGTATTGTAGCCTTTTTTCATAGCGCAGTGGTAGTGAGGCCTGCCCTTCGGTAAGTGTGTCGACCAGGTGGTAGTACTTCGTGCGAGTACGCCTGGGTGGGGACCACCGCTCCGCCGCTCCCATCGGGCCGGCCGGTGCCTGGCATCGCGCCGGCCGGTGCCTGGCATCGCCGGCCGGTGCCTGTCATCGCCGGCCCATGGCGGGGTAGCCAGCACACTGGCACGTGAGACTCAACACCTACGTCTCTACTGGTGGACGTCAAATACTTCGTGACACCCAAACTAACCAAAAACTACGCAACACGTCCTTATTCCGCTTGGAATAAGGACGTGTTGCCAACGTTTTGGCCACTTTGGGTGCCACGAAATATTGGACGCTGACTGTAAGCTGTAGCTTTATTGACCACTCCAATATCTTCTAGACTAATAAAAAATCCAAAAAAAAATCATAAAATACAAAAAGTAAAAAAAATAAACATCTGTGCTACATGCGATTCTCGGATCCCATGTACCTATTCTATTTTATTTGCTGGCCGTTATTTCTTCCTTCTGTTTCGACGAGCCGTTCAAACAAAAGGGGGTAATAATCAAAGTCAGTCAATGACGCCAGGCCGCGCCCGTCTTGAGTTTCATTCAGTAAACATTAGTCTAGAAGGTACGGATACAGTTATAAAACTACAGCTTACAGATTTACAGCAAAGTCCACCATTATATACCTTAAATGTATCTACCATCAGCGTGTCTTTCCAGTTTAATATTAATTACTTATTACGTTACAACAATTTTAAACTCAGGTTAAGTTAATTAAGTCAGATTAGGATCATTAATTTAAACTTCGTTCGAGCGGGTCTTGAGTGGTATCGCCACGTCCCGTCGCTCATTGCGTGGCGGCCTGTACACTGTAGCTTTATTCAACACTGCATTGTCTTCTGGACTAAAAAAAAAACAAAAAAAATACAAAAAAAAATATAAAAAATAAAAACCAAAAAAATGGAAGCCTAGTATTTTTAATTTTAATGGCCGGTATTTCCTCCTCATTTTAAAACAGACGTTTCAGAATAAGGGGGTAATATTCCTGTCTGTGTGACGCCAGGCCTCGTTATTGTATGATCTTCATTTCATCTTGATGTTGAATTATTATTGAAGGAAGTTTTGCAGCTGATGTCCAGAGCTACAGTTTACTGGTTGTCAACAATGGGTATCACTAAACACCACGCAAACCTTTCGTTCTTTTCGCCATTCTTTGCCTTTAATATATCTACCATCAGTGTCTTCCCGATTGAAAATTTATTACCTGTTGCGTTACAAACGTTTTGAAAATTGAATTTATTAATTTGGTTGAAGAAGACAACTACTCGCTTGGAAGAGAGTTTAAGGTATTCTGGTTGAACAACTACCAGCTTGAAGGAGTCATGTGGGGTGGAGGGAGGCTTTCATGCGAAATTTGATCCATCGCATGCAACTCTAACGTAGAGATCGCGTGAACAACACCAGACGCGATATTACGTTAGATACGTCACGTAACATCTTGGGGAAGGAAATGGTCGCGTAGACCACCTTGCGCGACATCATGATATTACGCAACAACTTTGGGACGTGAATTTATAGTCTATATGCGCGTAAACACCACCTACGCGATATTAGATCGTGTAGTGAGTCCAGTACACCTTTGGGACGAGATAGGGTCGTGTGGACAACATCTAACACGACATTGGTTGTGCAAGACATATAACACCTCTGTGACAATTAAAAGGGTCGTGTGGACAACACCTCACGCGAAATTGATAATGCAAGTCACGTTACATCTTTGTGACGTATACTGTCGCGTGAAGAACATCTCACGCGACCTTTGATCAAAGAATAACGCCCGTATTCACAAACATTACTATGAGGTCTCACAGTGCGCGTGGACGCATAGGGTGACACACGAACCAATCACTGAGCTCTATTCAACGCTGTGCGTTCGATTTGCTGTTTCACTTAAGCAAGTGTCGTTTGGGAATACGGGCGTAAATCTATTAACACGTTAGCGACGAGAAAGGGTTGTGTGAATAACATGTCACACGACATTGGTTGAGCGTCACACTACATCGCGGTGACGAGAGTAGTCGTGTCCACATCATCCAATGCGACTCTGTATGGAAGTCATGTAACACCTTTTTGACAATTATTAGAGTTGTGTAAATAACATCTCACACGACATTGGTTGAGCGTCACGCTACATCGCGGTGACGAAAGTCTTTGATCATACAAGTCCAATAACATCTTTGTGACAATTAAGAGGGTAGTCGTGTCCATAACATCACGCGCGACATTGATAATGGAAGTCATGTAACACCTTTGTGACAATTAAGAGTAGTCGTGTCCACAACATCTCACGCGACATTGATCATGCAAGTCCAGTAATCAATTAACAGGGTAGTCGTGTCCACAAAATCTAACGCGGCATTGTATGGAAGTCATGTAACACCTTTTTGGCAATTATTAGAGTTGTGTGAATAACATGTCACACGACATTGGTTGAGCGTCACGCTACATCGCGGTGACGAGAGTAGTCGTGTCCACAACATCACACGCGACTTTGATCATACAAGTCCAATAACATCTTTGTGACAGTTAAGAGGGTAGTCGTGTCCACAACATCAAACGCGACACTGTATGGAAGTCATGTAACACCTTTTTGACAATTATTAGAGTTGTGTAAATAACATCTCACACGACATTATTTGAGCGTCACACTACATCGCGGTGATGAGTGAGTAGTCGTGTCCACAACATCTCACGCGACATTTATCACACAAGTCCAGTAACATCATTGTGACAATTAACAGGGTAGTCGTGTCCACAACACCACACGCGACTTTGATCATGCAAGTCCAATAACATCTTTGTGACAATTAAGAGAGTAGTCGTGTCCACAACATCTCACGTGACATTGATCATGCTAGTCCAGTAACATCTTTGTGACAATTAACAGGGTAGTCGTGTCCACAACATCCAACGCGACTTTGTATGGAAGTCATGTAACACCTTTGTGACAGTTAACTTTTCACTTGTTATTACAATTAGGCCATGTAACAAGTGTGGTTGCATAAATAACACCTTATGCGACATTGTTTTTTTATTTTTGAACTGGATAGCCAGGAATGTTTTTAAAGGTTATAGCGAAGGAATCACGCGTGTTCTACCAGTTCCTTTGTTCAGTTGGTCAACATCCGAAAAGATTTATTTGTATTTGTTGATTGCTTAGGGTAGTTAGCATATAAAAGATATAAAATATATAATCTATTCCATATAAGAAGATATTTTGTACTTTTGATACCTAGATTAAGAAATAGTAGTTTAAGAGTAGGTAAGGGATTTTTGTGTAATTTCATATATTATCACATTGATTATGTAATATTAAGACTAGGTACGCCTGGAGCTAACTAGACCCTCTGCCATATCAAGCTTGGTATGACTAGAGCCGACTAGACTACTCTTCCGGGAATGATATTTGTATAACATAAGCTACTATTCTTGTCTTACTCATTATCCGTAGCCCCCTTCTTCTACTTCTTCTTTGGTTCTATGGGCTTAGTATAAGGAGTAAGACAAATCTTAAGGTATCTTTATTTTTGTGCTGGCAACTCGAGACGATGCATTTGTCGTGCATCGTCTACGAGTTGTCTAAATTCTCCCATTTATTTGTTTTATTTAGGTATTTACGTTAAATGTCAACTCGTAAACGATTTTCATTTTCACAATTCATGAAAATTGGTCACGAGCTGTGTTCTTCTCAGTTCCCAAATGTCGACTCGTGAACGGCTTCCTGAAACTGCGCCGAAGCCCTTCAGTAGTTGGCAGAGATTAGGCTTTTTGTTTTAACAAACAGAATTGTGACAAAATATTATGTTAATGTAAACTTTATTTTTAAACGATCTTCACGTTTGCAGTTCGTGAAAACCGTTTGTGGAAAGGCTGCGATTTATTTAAACTCATACTTGTAAGTCTCTCAAAGCGATTTCAGTCAGATCGTCTGAGATGTCAAGAGAGTGGTGGTTTATTGTGTTTTCGTTTAAATTGTATCATGAAATATCGTGAACATTCACGTTATAACAGTATTAAAATTACAATTATTTAGGTGCTCTAATTTATCGAATGTTTGTACTTAATTTAAGTATTTGTTTTAGTACAAAATATCGTCAGACTTAATGTCGGACGGAGTTTATTTTATTACGGAACTAATTCGCCGACATGGAATGCTCGGCGGTGAGTGGTTAAGGTTAAGGAATGGATTGGACTGATGTTACCTGCGCTCGCCTGCGGCCGGGCCTCAAATTCAAATTCTACCCCTTCTATTTTTGGATTACCTTATTTCCTAAATCATAAAACAAAAATATCTCAATATGGTTCGGTCAACGTCCCAACAAAGGACTTTCCCGCTTCGACCACAGGCAGAGCGCAGTGTTTATACAGTCGGCGTGAAACAGTTCGCGACACCTAAAGTAGCCAAAAATACGTTCGCAACGCGGATTATGTTGACAACTTTTTGCCTACTTGGGTATCACGAACTATTTGACGCAGACTGTACTAAGCTGTAAGTTAAAATATTTTCGGCCTGTGTTATGTAATGATATAGGTTCGGTTCTACTGTTGGATTTTCTAAAAGAAGCCAGCTGCCTATGAGGGTTACCATTAAAAAATATATTTAGTTTTTTATTTTTAGAAAATCATTGTTACTATTTTGGCGTATTCTTACTTTTGATTGTGAAAAAAAATGGAATTAGTTTCGAAATAGGCAGTTTCTTTAATGATTAGGCGGCGATATTTTTAAAATACGTGTAGCTTAAGTTGCTGAATATTTTTGAAGCTTTATAATTAAGTATAATAATTTAGTCTTTTAATTTATGGATGTTTTTTAAATCTTGATGTCAGTCTCAATGTAAACCCCAGTCATAGTCCTACTCCCAGTCTCGATGTCACCCCAAATTACCTATTGTCCGATGTCTTGATGTGCTTATGTAACCCCTCCAACCCCCCTTCCCGATGTCATGCCCTTCCCAGACATCCATGTCCCCAGACCTCTTGGTCCTGTTTCTTTGATAATTCCCTATCCCAAAGTCCACGCTCCCAGGTAATCCCCAATCCACGAATTCCACGATGTCCTTTTCCCCAAATAAACTCCATTCCCTGTATAATTTGCCCCATTTAATACCCATTCCCAGATAGCGTTAACACGTTGTCAGTCCTTTTACCTGTGGATGTCGTTTCCTCAATATAACGATATCAGTCCTATGTCCCCGTCCCCAGTGTCTTTTACTCGATGTATGTAAACCCCAGTGTTCGATGTCGTTTGTAAAGCAAGTCTAGGCTCAGAAGTTTTGTAATTCTTCAATCCCAACTTTCGGGGGAAATCGGATGTTAAGTGGGGTTCTATTCCGGAAAACTATTTTGATCTGTCTCTGTTCGTCTGAAGTGAGAGCGACGATGGGCGGAGTCGATGTTTTAAAACAGTTTTGCGGTATAGGGCCTAAAGTTGCTGTAAGACTAGCTCGGTTTCATATTTCAAGTTCGAAAGCGTCGGCTGCGTCGACGCCACAAGGCGCCAGTCGCGCGGCGATTGACCGCTGGCCATCGAACTCCTTCTTGAGTGACGAACGTCACTTACTACTCTTATCTATAACTTCAAGGGAATAAAGAACGAGAGAATATTTTCACCATCAATGAAGGATATAGTGAAAAGCCGCTTTCCCCCACCACCAAAATTACCTCCTTTTCTCATCTTGATGGAATGTGATTATAACTGCGAGCAAAATCTTGTAATGTGCAATGTACTGGCGAAACGCCACGTGTTAAAGTTAACTAAACTAAGTCTTGATTGTTGGCTAAAACTTTTTAAAAGTATTTTTCTATTTTTTACTTTTACTGTGATTTGACTACTGTTTGTAAGACCGCGAAGGTTATCCAATGACTTATGTTTTGGACGGTGGGTAATGTTTTGTGTGTCACTATACCAATGTTCATGATTTTAGTAAGCTCCTAACTAAAGATCCAAAATTGGGTGTCTTGACAGCTGTGTATTGAACAGAAAAGTTTGACATCAAAAATCAGGTCACAAATTACACGGAAATTAAAGTTGGAAACTTCTGTAAAGTGACTTAGGACATTTATGCGAACGTATGGCCTACTTTGACGGAATGCGGACGTTAGTATAGTGATACTTTGTAGCGAGTAGTTTCTACTCCCATTATGTACTTCGGCCTAGCATCTTGTCCTGGATGTATTTCTGCACTTTAGTGCACGTAGCGGTTCTTCTGTAGTATCTCACTATTCGATGTTTGTATTACTTAATAAAAATATCCATGTAACTACCCTCTTTTATTCCCTACCCATTAATTAGCTAAGAGAATGCTAGCAACCATTGGATATGAATTTACCATCAGCATTGTCCCCAACATTAGATACCTAGTTATCCTATACATAGAGCTACCAGCTACCGACATGTGTTACATCTAATTTCATACATAAATGCATTACCTAATATTATCTTGACCTATGTAACGTTGTTGAACTAGTAGAGTAGAATACTTGTAGATCTGTTAAAAAGATGAAACTTGTGGATTCTTTAGAAGAAAAATATGCTAGAGACCATAATATTATACTTAGAATACATATTTCTTTAAAAATCAACGTACTTAAATATTTCAAGTATTTAAATGGCATATGTTAGACTAGAGCAGGGTTTCCCAATTTTTTTTTGCCACGGAACCCTAATTGATTATACTTTTCCTAGCGGAACCCTACTTTGATAAATGGAAATTTAAATGAAAAACAATAAAGTTTTTATGCAATTATTTGTAAACAAGTCGGTGCGCGCGAACAACGTCGGTCACGAAATGTGGGATAATATTTTTTACGGAACCCTTGCGGCCTTTCCACGGAACCCCAGGGTTCCGCGGACCACCTTTCGGGAACCGCTGTTCTAGAGGAAAACAAAAAAACCAAAGTGACATCGATATATTTATTTAAAACCTGTTGTATCCGTATCACAGAACAAAAAATATACGAGCAAAAAATCACAACAACATCGCTAAACAATAGGAATTGTACGTCAGCTTGCAAATAATGGCTATAGCTTCAATTTAATAATCGACAAAATGCCAATAAACTATAAACCTACACAGTCAATGCGCATAACATAATTAATTTAATATAATAAATACCTAATAATTGCACGGCGATACGTAAACTAATGGTAAACAATAACTTAGTTGGAGAAGATAGAAAAACTAAAGGAGTTAAAAAGAGAACATAAAATACAAAACTAGTCAGAGAAAGTAGAAGCTTAAAAAAAATACACTTTAGCTAAGAGCCTCCTCGTTTTTCTACCGTGTCCGCAAAATATAGATGTCGGAACCAGTGTTATGAACCACCTTCTTCAAGTTTTCTGCTGGTTTTAGTCATTTATCAATCAAATGGTCAATTCTAACAAACCCCCAGAACAAAGTATCTCATCCATCAGACTCGAAAATATAAACAGTTAATCACAATCGATTTAAAAATCCCAATAAATCATTAGCATGTGATATGGCATAACTTAATAGGTACCTAAACGTGATTTACGTTCTTCTAATGCATTCAGATAATATCGAAATATTAAAATGTTGCATATCTAGTATCTACGTATTAAATTTTTATGTGCATGTAATGTGAAATTATCATTCAAGGACCGAGTGAGGTGGAGTTCTCCCAAGTTTATCCTGCTCTCGGAAATAATTTGAATTATTATTCACCGGTACATTTGTGGAATTATATTGGGAAAACGTGGCGTAGAGAATTTATGAAGTGGCCACTCCTGTAAATGGCCCAGCCTACTGCAGACGGACGCAGCTCACGACACTTGGAGGTAGCAATAAAATTGTCAATGGCAGTCGGTGAGATTCACGACGGTGGCAGCTGGTAATGTGGTCATTGCACTCAGGAAAATATTCGGCAGTTAAGTTAGCGTTGGTATTACAGCTTACTGGGGTGCGATGGGAATCATCAATGCCCTATAGAATCGTTTAAAGAGATACTGCGTCCATCACTATTCTACTAACTACTCGTACATCGACACATACTACACTTAGGGTGAGTTGCACCACCTAACTTTGACCGTAACTTTAACGATAGGTATAGTTCCAAAATATTGGACTGTCCTATCGATGACATTGACAGTGGGGCGCCACCGTCAATACCGGATCGCTGGTTCCGATTTTTGCCATGTTGGAAACCATATAGTTGAACGATGGTAGCGCCCCCCTGTCATTGAGTTTGGCGGGACAGTTCAGCGTGGGTCATCTATAACCGGTGGTTTTTGTAGGGATTTTGACAGATTATTGACGTTTGTCAAAGTTAAAGTAAGATGGTGCAACCCAGCCTCAGAGAATAATAACATCAAGATCTTTATGCTACATTTAAACTTAACAATAATAAAAATCACTTAAAATAGGAATGATAACATTCGATTGTACCTACGAATTAACAATAAATATTAAATTATTTCATAAGAGGGTAAAATTTCTAAAATAATATAGATATCTAAGTAACAGTGTATATAGAATATTCAAGGTTTAAAATGTATATCTTTCAAAAATAAATTTCGAAAAGGTCCTAATTCCAAAAATTGGTCAGACAATTTTGAAAAAAAAAAGGTCAAATAGGAAGCACTCAGTATAGAATAGGATGGAAATATTTACGTTATTAATTAAATTGACCAATAATATATTTTATATGTGGTCAATAATATATACCTTACCTACAAATACAAGAAAAAACATGTGTAAAGCTAATCTCACGTCAAATTAATTTCATAAATAAATAGCACATAATTTAAAAGGTAAATTCGTTTGTAACATAACGTAACCTTTTGTACAAATTATACATAGAATAATTATAGTTGAGAACATAAATTAATTAAACAAAACAACCTGTTAAAAAAGGTCACTAAATCATCATGTCATCAACGTAATACAACATGGAAAGTTGGAAATGAGCGAAACCATTTAAATTCCGTGGTGGTTTACTCCTGGAACGCTGCGACGATGGAGGCGACGCTTTCGTATGTGCCGGTGATGAAGATGAACACCCCGAGAACGATGATGATACCGTCTTTGAGGACCATGAAGGTGGTCAGTCCGTTTTCCTTCTGGGATGCGACGACCAGCTCGATCAGCGGCGGGAAGATCAGAGCTAAGGCGGTGCTGCTCACGGCGCCCACCAGAGATATGAACAGGCCGAGATGCGGGATTGATTCGGCGAGGATGACTGGAAATATAATTCATAGTGGTTAACCGCTTCTCTGGTCTAGTAGTAAGACCACCTGCTTCAGAAGCAGAGGTCCCGGGTTCGATTCCCAGTGGGGGGGCAGATTTTTCTATTCGGTTTAGTTGGTAGTAGGGCTTGTTCCAAGTCCGCCTGGCTAGCTACCACCATCTTACCTAAGTCTGTCGCCATAACAACAATGTTAACAACATTGTTGTGTTCCGGCAGTTCGAGGTAAGATAGCCAGTTCCTCCGTGGTTGAGGATTCCGGGTGAAGCTCGCTTCCACCTTCGGCCTGATCGTCACTTACCATCAGGTGAGATACAGGCCAAGAGCTTCCTCGTTGTGGATAAAAAAAGGTATCTCATAGGAATATCGATCAAGTACCACTCGGAGTAGACAGTGCGTGAGCACAGAGTTACGAAGCATCATTCTCTCATGATGAATGGAGACGGATAACAAGGTGATCCCATTTTCGTCTCTGCCCTGTAAGTAGATTCCTGAAGTACCAGTACCAAAGGAAAACCTTTAGCTACAGGACTACTTATTACTATTCCGTGCTACAGGCAGGACACAGTAAACAGAAAATAAGTTGCAGGCTCGCAAATTTGTACTTACTGCCATCTGTTGAGTTCGAATACGGTATCTGGATGATACTTCAACGGATTTTGGAGGAACTACATAAATTACCCGAATAAGTAAGCAGCTGTGAAAACAAGCATCACATGTTGGTGCCTAAAGTACTGAATAGATGGCGCTCAAAGCTAAACTAACGTAGGCGTATGTAGGTGGTGCCGTTAACTAACGGATTTTCGGGGAACTACATTACACGAATAAGCACCTGTGAAATCTAGCAACAGCAACTGACGTCACTCATAGTTCCTCACGCTTAGAACCTCTGTGTTGTAACAGGTTGGCAAGTTGTTGAATAGATGGCGGTTAAAGCTTAAAGTTTCAGAACCTCCCAAGGCATGACTGTAAACCTTGAAAATATATTTTCGGATCATAGGTACTGTGTTCTGAACTTAACGATAATAAAGCGAACCCTCTTCCCGTGGATATCATAAAAAGCGGCTAAGGACCAATATTTGAACATCAAACCTTTCTAACTTTATGATACAGCCAACGCGTAAGGGGCGGGGGAGCGGTGGTGGCGGTCCGCCCCGGGTGCCAAGCTTCAGGGGGTGACACAAGTCGCGCAAATTAGTACTAATTAACGGATCTGATGAACTACTGATTGAAGTCTGGGGTCTATCTCATGATACGGCGGTGCGATTGTCTTTCAATCTTCGAATTGTTAGGTAACCCCAAAATCCTGGGGGTATGGGGTGCCTTAGGACTTATGACGGGAGGGGGGGGGGGGGGGGTCGCCCCGGGTGCCAGCCCATGCTACGCCGCCACTGCTCCCCATGGATGTCGCAAAAGGCGACCAAGGACCAATTAAGTAAACATCAGTTCTCCCCAACCTGTCTGACTAAGATGGAGTGAGACCAAATCCTCCATTTGCCTTGTGATGCTGATGGATTACTGTAAATTTCTAAAGCACTGATACTCACAGGTCAATAATACCAAAGCAGCCCTGTATCCCAGTTCCGTGGCGACGGGAGAAGCGCCCGCGAAGCGCTTGCGCAGCGCAGGCCAGGTGATGTCGACGGGCACGTACATCTGCAGCGGGTATGTGAACATGATGGCCAGCGCGATCAGGGTCTGCACGATGTTGCTCGAGCTGAAATCATCAGCCATTTAGATGAGTTCCAAATGTCCACCATTTTATTACACATTAAAAAGATTAAGCCTGAATTAAGTATGATCCATGTCAAAAAGAAAGGAAGCATACAGAAGGAAACACTAAAAGACCCAAGGTCCCAAAAAAACCTGAACATCGTACCTAAATCTCACAGATAAAATGCACCGTATTGAATTTTCTAACTACCAATTTCAGTATCCTGCTTGGTAGACACCAGGGTCTATGGGCGACGGTAACGGGACTATTCCCACCTCTCGTTCCCACCACTGCAACTCCTGTGTAGCCAGGATCTACAGCTTGACCGCCACAAAAACCCAACCAATGAAGGTCAAGTTTGTCCCGGGGGAAAGTTAAACTGTCATTGGACCCGCAACGAAATTAATCAGAAGAACATAGGAGGAGTTCGAAATTAAGGTTCGACTTCCCTCCATTGCAAAGCGGATGACAGGTGACAAACAAAGGTTTAAGAAAAAACCTTTAAGAAAAGATTATGCACCACGGACAATGGGCGACGGTAATCACTTAGTACTATCAGGTGATCCGTCTGCTCGTTTGCCTCCTGTCACATAAAAAAGTTTCATTATATTATGCACTCACATAAGTCCAGGTTGCAGGTTGAGGGTCAGGCTGCCCTTGACGTCGTCACCCCACTTGAGGTAGCCGAGGAAGCCGACCACGATGAAGATGGTTCCCACGAAGATCATGCCCACGTTCAGCACGCCCAGCGGCTTCTGGAACTGCTCCGGATGACGCATCTCGTTCTTGAGGGGCAGTACCTGGAAACACAGACGTTTGAAATTGGTATCCATAACCTGCCCTTTTGTCTCTACAAGCTATGTGCCCCCCACTGCCACTTGATTTTAGCAAATCTGCCGCTGGCCTAGCGATGGCCGTTGGGGCAGAAAAGTTCTCGAGTGTCGAATCATGTGACACTAGGTGGACCGATCTGGTGAAGGCTGCGGGAATAGCCTGGATGCGGGCAGCGCCGGTGCAACGACGGGTCCATTATGGAAATCCTTGGGGGAGGCATTTGTACAGCAGTGGACGTCATTTTGCTGAAACGAACGAACGAAACTGCCCTTTCATATTATGCTCGTGCTCTTTGGCGCTGGAATAATATACCAGCGCCAAAGTTTTATAAATTTTTCTTTTCAGTCTTCATTTTGTAAGTACTTACCATCTCGCATGACAGTTGCCAATAGACATTGTAAATAACAATTTTCCTGTTTCCATTATCAAGACACTTTTCGGGTCCAGTCGGGTTCTTTTAATGTTTAAAAAAGTTTAAATTAACTTTTCATGGGCAAAATCGTTTCCGTTTATGGGAATCGAACATGAGTCCCTTTTGTTTTTTCCTCTTTCCTTGTTTAATCGGAAATGGAGTGCGGTCATACTTTGTCATATTTCGCTCCTTGAATATTGATGGCTAAATTAAACTTCGCTAGAATCAAATAATACTGATACCCACTTCTGAAGACAATGTATCATTTTATAATGTAATACAATTGTAGGTACCAGTTGTTTACTGTTGTAGAACTATCACAGTAAAAGTATTGCTATGTAATAGCTAGAAATTAAAAGTAACTGAAGAATCGTCGCAACATGTCTGCTCCTCTAAACATAGCAGTTACATCAATAACTTCTTCACCCATCAGTCAGGTAAAGATGACTTTATTAGTTTCATTACTATTAACAATTACAAGGAAGAAAGCCTTACAAAGAACGCCACGTTAGCCGAACGGTGAAGGGGTCCGACTGGCCGACTCGAGATCCGAGGAGCGAGGGTTCGAATGGTGAGCCCACTCGTAACACAGGCATATTTAGCTTACCACGAGGGGCTCCTTCTTCCTCGGTCCCTCACTGATGAGGATCGCGACCACAGATAGTGTTCCTCCACAGATTGCGGTCATAAGCTGTTTCTTTGGACACATTATGCGGTCTCCAAAGCATTGTCTGGAGAAACAAATTATCTTGGGACAAATGAAAGGCAGACGTGGTCGGGGCAGGCAGGGCACCGACGAGATGGTCGGACGCGGTGAGGAAGACGGTGGGCGGGAGTTTGCATCGTACGAGGGGCTAAAGGGACTAAAACAAAAATAAAACAAAAACGGTTAAATACTCACGAGTCCAATGCCTTCAAAAGCGTACACAGCCGTTCCGAAATACAGCGGTAGTTGTTGCCAGCTGGCGATGTAGTCCCGGGAAGAAATGCAGGGAAGATCCTGGCTGGCCTCGTAGACCACGACGCTGACGCCAATAGCCATCATGATGTTGGCGATGGTGGAGAACGGCGTCAGGTACTTCAGGTTGCGCACCATGCATGCCAGCAGCACCGGGATCACCACGATGATCATGTGGATCGACAGGTCGATCACGATGTTATAGTAATCCGAAATCTGAAAGATGTTTTCGATTTGGGTGTTGTATTAAGTAGGTCTCTAGTAAAAAATCGAACTGCCTAAGGCGGGAATCGACGCTTCGCTTGCCGGGCAACTGCTCTTCCATCTGAGCTACTTAGACACTGGATGAACAGAAATGGCAATGCCAGATTTTGTATGGAAGCTGGCGTCTTTTTTTTTTCGCGCGGCCATCGACCAAACATTGTTTTTTGATTACAAAATAGTGTAATAAACCAAACTTACTATGGCATGTACCTATACCTCTAAACTCAGTCTGAACTGAGTTACGAACATTAGAAGTTTGATGATTTTCATACTAGATTTGCTTTTTGCGCGCAAGTTTTGTAAGAAATTGCAACAAAATATTGCGCTATTTTTGATTCTGCTACATACTGATGTCTGGAGCCTTTAATAGATGGTATTGTTTGTTTACACATACAATGTCATTATTTTGTTGCAATTTCTTACAAAACTTGCGCGCAAACAGCAAATCTAAGGTACTTGATACAAATAAGGCCTACCTAACTTTAAATGCTTATATTTCAATAAATATTAACGCCAGTCAACAAAAACAAGGTTAATTAACTTCTTCCATCCTTTAATTTTAGCAATATTACAAAAAATAACACAATTTTTAACTAAATCTATTCAAAATAAGCAAATTACGAAAGCACTGATTTTGGCTTTAATAAATCACCTATACGGAATAAGGCCTATATGATTCAAATGCCTGTAGACCTTAAAATTGAGGTTGTATTAAACAAAATGCGGTCTTATAACATTAAACACGTCGATTTGTTTGCGTTATCAAAATTTTACATACTGAGTGAACAGAAATATACTGTATATCTCTAGATAAACTTAAATTCCACTTATTAAGAATAATACACAAATTATAGATAAAATTAAATATTCATAGTAACAAAGTAATGATTCCTTACTTAAATTATCAAAAAAAATATCAAAAACAAACAATATTATTTTTTTGTATAGGGCATATTAAAACACCGTGTTCGAATAAGGCCTACACATAAAACCTTTTAAATAAATCAGTTTAGGAACATTATTTAGTCTTGAATTTTTGTAAACAAAATGAGATCTCAATTTTTGTTAGAACCAGGGAATAAAAAGGCTTCTGAATTATCTTTACGAACTTCTACACAATCTTTGTGATACCACCAAAACCAGTCTTTTAGACTTTCGAGACAGGCATGATAATACCAGCTTTTATTCTCCTTTCCTTTAGAATTATACATACGGCTTTTTTATCTTATTTTTTATTGGTTTTGTATTTTGTTTCTTTTTTTATAGGTTTAGTAATTTTTTTCGACTCTGTTTTATTTTTCTTTTCTCTGCTGTTAGTAACATTCTCATTAAATAAATATTTAGTTACTCTTTGACTCATTTAGTTTAATGAATTTGTCCGTAATCAGGTGTTGACATAAGTATCTAATATGGCCTACCATGCTGAAATAAGGCCTAGGCCTTATTAGATATCTCGCTCTTGATTTCTTTAAAAATTTACAAATAATGCATCTATAACCAGTAGTACAAATTAAGATAATTATTAGCTAGTAAGAAATATTTAGAAACGAATACTAAGAAAGGCTTAATCTGAAACAGCGTCATTTTAACGAAAATTTAAGATGAAATCGCCAGATTTTTATAAGAGAGCACGAAATCACCCACAACCTTAGAAGAACGCGTGCCAATTGGTGCTAGGATCGTGGATCGGGACGCTCTTGCACTCTACCGGGTTATAGGGCATATGAGTACGTGTCCTTGAAGTATTATCCCGGTTGGATTTATTTATCTGTGTTTTCTGATGTATAGGCCTTATTAGAACGTAGGCCTTATTTGTATCAAGTACCTTAGTATGAAAATCATCAAACTTCTAATGCTCGTAACTCAGTTCAGACTGAGTTTAGAGGTATTACATGCAATAGTAAGTTTGGTTTATTACACTATTTTGTAATCAAAAAACAAGGTTTGGTCGATGGCCGCGCGAAAAAAAAAAGACGCCAATTTCCGGCATTGTCTTTTACAAATGTAATACGCTGTTGCGGCCGCGTTTTAAAGGACCCTTGAGGAGCATTTTCGCGCTCCAATACCTACTCTTACACGCGTATTCACAAATCTATGCTTGCTTAAGTGAAGCAGCAACGCTATGTAAAGTCAAACGTTTTTGGGATCCTGTGCGTCCACGCGCACTGTGAGACCTCATTGTAATCTTTATGAATACGGGTGTTCCTACCCTTTCATGTATTCTCATGCTATTTCGCAGCTTCAAAGTCGTAGTAAAAAAAACTATGCTTTTAAACACAAAATAAATACTAGCACTTACGAGTAGCTACTAAGTAGGTACTATACAGTGTGTCCGGGCATGTAGTGATCAAACTTTAAAGACGTAATCTATGAACAATTTTATCGATGAAAATACTTCAAATTTGGGACTTGACCCATTTCTCGAAAAATTACATCGATTTAAATTTTTAATTTTTAGTTTACACCTCTTCTTTAAAAAACAAGTCAAAGCGTGGGTAGCTTAACATTAATATGCAAATATTTTATGTCATGCGATAGCCAATAAAATTATTTATTAGTAGAAGAAGAAAACAGACACAAATTTCATACATTTTATGGGAGTAAGAATGGATTGAATTAGAAAAATACATTACTTTTTTCACTTCTTTTTCAGTTATTTTCCAACACAAGAAAAACCAGGTCGTTAAGGTATGTTTTATTTGCATTGTATTATTAGTATTTGAGCTATTCTACAAAACGAATGTAAATTTATTAGTCTACGTCTATTAGTTTCGACGTAATTGTTGAACAAAGATACCCCTTCCCAGCGATTTCCATAGCGCACGCGACATGCGAAAATGCACTGCCTGAAAGAATCACACAACCTATTCCGATTACTATGGAAACCGCTGGGAAGGGGTATCTTTGTTCAACAATTACGTCGAAACTAATAGACGTAGACTAATAAATTTACATTCGTTTTGTAGAATAGCTCAAATACTAAAAATACAATGCAAATAAAACATACCTTAACGACCTGGTTTTTCTTGTGTTGGAAAATAACTGAAAAAGAAGTGAAAAAAGTAATGTATTTTTCTAATTCAATCCATTCTTACTCCCATAAAATGTATGAAAGTTGTGTCTGCTTTCTTCTTCTTCTAATAGATAATTTTATTGGCTATCGCATGATATAAAATATTTGCCTATTAATGTTAAGCTACCCACGCTTTCACTTGTTTTTTAAAGAAGAGGTGTAAACTAAAAATTAAAAACTTAAATCGATGTAATTTTTCGAGAAATGGGTCAGGCCCCAAATTTGAAGTATTTTTATCGATAAAATTGTCCCTAGATTTTGCCCTTAAAGTTTGATCACTACAAGCCCGGACACACTGTATACACTTACCTAAGCAAATGACGAGAATGAAAGATAATGTTACTTGCGGTTTGATACCAAGTGAAGTACCTAAGTATTTATTGTAATAGTTTACGTACTTATGCAAAGTAAATACTCAAGCATTTTCCTACAAGGTAAAGTATTATAACTACTCGAGTAGACGCGTGGTGTGTCATTTCCCTAAACCCTTATTCCTCAAGTTTCTAGACTATAAGTGGTATCGATCGTGCGATGATAGTTCAGGTACAGCTACGATTTGGAAGTTTAAAACTAGATGTGAATCAAAGTTTAAAAATGTTTCGCATTGGTCACGTGTTTACAGAAAATCTTACCTCATATTGTTTTGTTAATTTTAATAAGGACAATATTTTAAAAATGATTTGACAGGTAAAAAAAGGCATGCAAGTTAGCATCGCACACTTAATCACTTGGAGATTTGACAAGTTCTTTGTACCTACCTATCCCAAATAATACCTACGTAACTGTACTTAACGACATAATACTCTATGTACAAAATAAACTTATAATTATTGGTTTTGTCCTGCGCAAAAACAATATCATCATCATCATCATTTTCAGCCATAGGACGTCCACTGCTGAACATAGGCCTCCCCGTATGCTTTCCATGTTGATCGATTGGTAGCGGCCTGCGTCCAGCGCTTCCCTGCTACCTTTACGGATATTTTATGCCTAGCTGAACTTTGGTAACGATGATCTTCAAGAATTAAATACGAGCACTACACGATTACGAGAGATTTTTCGTACTGAATCTGAAGAAAAACAAAATTTGAGCTCACTGTCACACTGGCAGTACCTATGGAAACAGTATATTATTATTTGTTAGAAGTATTTGATTAAAAACAAAAGAATAAAGAGAATCTATATATATCTATATACAGTGTGAGTCACGTTAAAGTGTACATATGAAAATAGATGAAACTAGATCTAATTTTATCGACAAAAAAGAGGTCAAAAAATTTTTGAGATTTAAAAAAAAAAAATTATAGAATTTTTTTTCTTCCAATTACTCATTGTAAAGAAAACGTAATAACATATAAACTAAGCGGTATATCCTGATAAAATAAAAACAGTAATAATGCTAAATAACAGGCGATACTAAAAAAATACATAAAATACACAAAAAAGGCCAACAAATAATAAAAAATGATACTTTTTGAAAAAAATCTGCTTAAAAATTCGTGTTTTTTTGGTTATTTGATAAATTTCTCCAAAAAATGCCCCTATGACCGGTGGTTTTTATTACTTTGTATTATTCTCTATCATATTATTTTCGTAAAACCGAAAATTGCATGTCTCTATCCCTATCACAACGTTTGCAATGATCGTTTGAACTAAGCCTCTCCGGGCGCGCCATTCAACGCTTCGTTAACAACGAAACTGAAAATGGCTCTAGATTTATAATTTTGATACAGACAAGTTAGATTACAAATAAAAACAAAAGATTTCGAAGTAAAATAAGCATTTTAGTTAAAATTAAAATTGTCTCTACCTGTAGCGGAGAATAATGTTGTGGCAGGCCTTTGTTCAAACGATCATAGCAAATGTTGTGATAGGTATAGAGACATGCGATTTTTGGTTTTACAAAGATAATACGATAGAGAATAATACAAAGTAATAAAAACCACCTGTTATAGGGGCATTTTTTTGAGAAATTTATCAAATAACCAAAAAAATACGAATTATTAAGCAGTTTTTTTTTCAAAAAGTATTATTTTTTATTATTTGTTGGCATTTTCTGGGTATTTTATGTATTTTTTCAGTATCTCCTGTTATTAAGCATTATTACTGTTTTTATTTTATCAGGATATACCGCTTAGTTTAAAAGTTATTACGTTTTCTTTACAATAAGTAATTGTAAGAAAAAAAAATCTATAAAAAAATTTAAAAAAATCTCAAAAAAATTTTGAACTCTTTTTTGTCGATAAAAATAGGTCTAGTTTCATCTATTTTCATATGTACACTTTAACGTGACTCACACTGTATATAAAAGAAAGTCGTGTTAGTTACTCCACTTATAACTCAAGAACGGCTGAACCGATTTAGCTGAAAATTGTCAGGGAGGTAGTTTAGAGCCAGGAGAAGGACATAGGATACTTTTATCCCGTTGGAAATAAAAAAAGTCTGCTTATTTATTGCCATTAAGGCGGAACAAAGTTCGCCGGGTCAGCTAGTCTATATATGTATATAAAAGAAAGTCGTGTTAGTTACTTCGCTTATAACTCTAGAACGGCTGAATCGATTTAGCTGAAAATTGTCAGGGAGGTAGTTTAGAGCCAGGAGAAGGACATGGGATACTTTTTATCCCGTTATTTATTGCCATTAAGGCGGAACAAAGTTCGCCGGGTCAGCTAGTTTGTAAATTAACTAAACGAGATTAAAATGCAAAAAGATTTTTGTAACTTGCTTACCATTTTCACATTAGTGGCGATAAATACGATGTAGACGCAACAGAAGCCGAGCTGGGTGATGCACAGGAACATGTTGATGATCACCCGCATAGCTGGTGCCAGGGGGCGGAGGCGAGCCGGTCCGTTTTGGAATACCAGGAACACCGTCTCGGCGAAGCCCGGGGGCTTCTCCAGATTCAGCTGCCCATGCATCTGCTCCGAGCAGTTCAGCTGTGGATGGAAATTACGAGTTTTCTTTAATTGTAAGTACTTTACAGTTTTTCTCACTGTAGGTTTATGTGGATAATGAAGACGACGTCGCTTCAAAACATTCATTGTAGCACATTATGTAGTAGTAATATTATGTGGAGTGACTGCTACAAAAATGAAAATAAATTGTCTAAATGTGCCATTTTTTGTATTCATCACACTGTCAACTCTTTACTAGTGAGATAATAAGCCACAAACGGAGCAGTAGCTCGCTGTTTAAAAAGAAGTACTTAGTTATCTGCAAGTACCCACATAATGACATAATGTGGTCACCTAGCTCATTCCTATTAAAACGTAGGTCTTCTACCTTCACTCTGTCAGTTTATACAGGTAGTTAGTACATGCAAAGTACCAACATGTAAGTGCCTACCTATTGTGCATATCCGGCATTAAAATGATGATCCAATTACTGGCCTACTGCATCAATCTACCATATTTCTCTTTCCCATTCCATTAAATGAATCGTTTGTTAATCTAAACTGTCAATTTACCTGCGAATCTGTCGATTGGAATGAGATTATATTAGAAGGCTATCAGGAATTCAGGATCCGATTACTGGACCTTTGTACCTGTCGCCCTTGATTAGTGGCTGCATACGTAAGATATGTAATTATCTAGGATCGGCTTAGACGGGCTTAGGATGCATTACAACACCTCACATGTTAATACTCGTAGTGTAGGTATTTATTTAGCTAATTAGCTTTATACTTGGACATACGAACAATGCTTCCATTAGAATTAACTTTGATAGACTTTTAAGAAACGGCAGAAAAAAGCGTCACTGAAAGTGCGAGTTGAAAGCATTTTATTTGGTTATCTATCATCACGTAACAAGAATATGTACCTATAACGTAAACACCAAACTTAAGGAAACAGGATTGTTGAACCCGTTTTCATTTGAATTTCTTCATTGTTGAATTCACAACAATGAAGAAATAAAAGAAGATTATTTTTCCTTCTTCGTGACAAGAAATACCTAAGTCTTAATAAAACACCTTGCAAACATTGCACTGCGCACAAACTTATTGACTGTTTTATTCAGTATTCTTCACAATAATCTTTTGGCAAGATTCTAACACAAACTATATTTAACTTCACTTGAAAAACTTGGAATTTGTCACAAAACATTGACACAAAGCATTAGCTTTTTGCTTTGGAATAAACGAATGAAAAACTCAATAGGTAAGTTACATCCTGTTCAGTCTCCGTTTCAATAAGTTTATAAGTTTTTGTTTCAACATTGACAATCACTATTTGTCTTGTGAAATAATCTAACGAGATATAGCTCATTTTCATGACGAGTAAATAACAATGGGACCTTATTCTATGACTAACCCAAAGTTAAATTCCCATTGGGAGAATTTAATTCTGCTTGACTTTTTTTGTGGTGTGGTGGCTTAGGGTTTCTACCACAGTTCAACTAGCTACCAAGTCCGCTTTGATAGGTGCGACGTACCACCACCTTATCTGGGTTCACGACAAGAACAATCTTACTAACATCATTGTGTTGGGAGGTAGATATTTATAACTAGTTCCATTGCGATTGTAAATTTCTGGGTAAACGTCGCTTCCATATTCGGCCTGATCGCCACTTTGCATCAGGTGATTCGGCCAAGGCGTTCTTCTTTGTGGTTCGTTCGTTTCAGCCGAAAGACATCCACTGCTGGACGAAGGCCTCCCCCAAGGTGTTCTACAAAGACCGGTCCTGCGCCACCTTCCGCGACCTTCACCAGATCGTCGGTCCGCCTAGTGGTAGACCTGTCAACACTACGTTTTCAGGCTCGTGGTCGCCACTCGAGAAATTTTCTGCCCCAGCGGCCATCAGCTCTACGAGCTATGTGCCCCGCCCACTGTAATTTGATTTTAGCAATTCTGCGGGCTATGCCAGTCACTTTGGTTCTCCTGCGGATCTCTTTATTTCTGATTCGATCACGCAGGGAAACTCCGAGCATAGCACGCTCCATCGCCCTTTGGGTGACCTACAATATGGTTGCTCCTGAAGCGCTTACCAGCAGGTGCTGAGCGTGGACGCAGATGACGCCCAGCAACGCAGTCATGATGGTAGCAAAGACGATGCCTCCGTTGCGGAAGGCGTCTCCCATGGCCAGCAGCCCGCTGCCGATGTTGCCACGGAAGATGTGCAGCATGGTGTCGAGGTACCTGGAGACAAAATACGTCATCAGTAATATGATACTTAGGTCTACGGGGTCTTCACCGAATATTTTTTTAACTTATTTTTTCAGTAGCTAGTCTTAACTACAAGTAGCCAGTTCTCTGCACATCATTGGCGGATGGCATCGTAAAAATACCTAGTCATAAATAAGTAGTCGATCTATGTAAAGTATGGTAATAAAGATCTTCTTCAAGTGAGCTAAACCGAACTTTGCCGTAAGAACACGACCAGGGCGCCAGCAAACTATTTTGGCTCTTCAGCTCCAAGAACTGTACAATTTAATATCTATCTATTCCCAAATGAGCTGTAGGTCGCGAGAGGTGCCTGGATGCGTGCGGTGCAGGACCGGTCTTTGTAGAAATCCTTGAGGGAGGCCTTTGTCCAGCAGTGGACGTCATTCGGCTGAAACGAACGATGCTGTAATTACGAAGTGGAGCAGGTTTCTTCTTCTTCAGCGTGGAAGTCATCAACAACTTATTAATCTATCAATGACTGTGTGGTACGACCCATGGGTGACGTCATCGCGTACTTACGAGGTCGGATGGGTGACCTTGTACTCGGGGGCAGCCTTCCCGGCCTCAACCTCCATCTCCGTCTTCGGCAGGATGTTCTCCTTGGACTGGAATACTCCGAAGCTGTCCGAGCCATTGCTGAAAAGAAACATGGTCGATATTACTCGTACGTTGTGGGAACATAAATATTTAACTTCAGAAAATGTAGAGCTAAAGCTAAAAAAAGTCCACCGATATCGATCGACAAGTTGCAGGATGCAAAACGAGTTTAAGAATCCTTTGTAGAATTTTTTACTGTGATGCAGGAACATGTGAATAAAAAAATTTTAGTGTACTAAGGAGTTGGATATATCTTTTTTAATCTTCTTTGTAGTAACATTAGGACGAGTGGCATCAGCGGCTATATTTTTTAAATTATTGGAATATCTAAGTATTCATAGTTGCATTAGCATTGAATAAGTATTAAAAATTCACTAGTAATATAAAAAAATGCTGTAAGTATACCGTACAGTTACTGTGGAAAATTGCCAGCGCTACGACAACTCATTACTTATTTGCGTGTGACCTAACACGTCCTAGAACTATGGAGTTTGACAGATTTCTGACCTCCTCCTTTGTCCCTCCTATGTTCTTCTGATTAATTTCGTTGCGGGTCCAATGACAGTTTAACTTTCCCCCGGGACAAACTTGACCTCCACTGGTTGGGTTTTTATTGGCGGTCAAGCTGTAGATCCTGGCTACACAGGAGTTGCAGCGGTGGGAATAGTCCCGTTTAAAATTTTTTTTTGACCTGTATAAAAATAGTGGACACTGAGTGAGTTACAACTGATAGCCGTCATCATGGCGACTATGTGGCAGAGTGTGCGGCAGTTAGGTACAGGAAAGTTGATAATGACGTGTAATCAGAATTTACCTGTAATGTGCTACAAGTACCTGCGCGATAAATACCTAAAACCGGTCGACCACAATACCATCGTTAACCGACCATGCGCTTTGTGTGTGTATGTCATTAACGTAACGATCGCGATTATATTGATCATGGCACTTTAAATCGTTTATTTACTTTACCCTTTTTGTTAAACCAACGACGTTTTTTACCTACGAGTAAGACCAAAATCAAACAAAGTCCAAATTAGTACATAATAGGCCCACTGACTGTTGTTCTACCAGGGAATAGAACCTTTAAGACTTGAAAGTCTTTAGGATCAACCACCAATGTAAAGAGAAGAGTAAAAACGTGTATTTGTACCGGAGACTACTTAATTACCCCCCAAATTCAAACAATATAGTCTATAAAATTGACACCTATCTCATAGTGTCATACTTGTACCTAGTGTGTTTCGAGTTCGTTAAAATGGATGGAAAATCTTAGACTGAGTTGCTCCACCTAAATGTAACTATGACAATAACCGGTGCATTTTGTATGGAGTTTGACAGATTTTTGACGTTTGTCTAAGTTAAAGTAAGATGGTACAACCCAGCCTTAGTTTTCCTATTTCTAATTGACATAGGCATTCTGGAACATAATTAATAATGATCTGTCGGCTGTGCTTTACTATCTGTATCAATGCAAAAAGGATTTTACTTGTTGAAAAAGCCTGAAAAGAAAAGTTGAATTTTACAAAATGGGCAGCGCTCGACAGCAATCGGCACATTCCTACATGGAAGCTTAAACGCAATAATTATTTCAATGTTAATTCAATTAATAATTCCTTTGTGGGATAATGTAAACATTATTTTATGACGAACTGATTAATTTCTCGGAATAACTTATATAATTTTGATGAAAATAGGACATGACCTGACATTTATGACAATGATAAAGCTTTACAAATGGACTTTGTACGTCATGACCTGGTAGCCTATCAGTTGGAATAAGGATTCGCTAGGCCCGGTTCGCGGGTTCAATTCCCAATTGTGACACACAAAAAGCAAACTTACTTGTGAATACTGTACATGGCCATAGGAGGCAGTGTTTACGGCTTGGAAAAAAGGCACTTAACAAAATACATTTCCCTAAGTAGGTACTAAAGCAAATTTACTTGAAGCTAAATCTCAATGTCCCTCTTTATTATCTTTATAATTACACTGTTAATAACTCCTGCAAACAATTAAGTACAGCAATGCACATTTATTAAACTTAATAGTTCGTTTTGGAATTCAATTTATTTCGTGGTTACGCTCTAACTGTATAGTAAACAATTTAAGTATTGACTAGATCTGTCCTTTCAGTTCCTAGTTACAAAGGCGCGGTGAGTTTACTTGAACTTAGTGGGTTCTAAGTTTGATTTCGAGAAATGAAGAAGCTATCACGTTTGCACGACCTAGACGAATACCTAATTGCGTTCAGAAGGTCCAACGGGTAAAATGTGTCCCAGAAATAAAGGCCAAACCAAAATTAAAAAGATCTTAGGGCCAAACCTGGAAAGTTTTAATGATCTCAGACAACGATAGCGACTTTTAAAATCAGACACCAGATTTGTTCCTCGCGCTTAAAAAAAAGCTCGGCATCTACTAATTTTATAAGTAAGTCATTATGGTGACATCTACGGGACTATTCCCACCTATAGTTCCCATCGCTGCAATGCCTGTCTAGCCAAGATCTACAGCGGTCAAGCCGATAAAAACCCAACATTAGTAAGTATTAGATTTATCGTTCCGATTTAGAGTAGACGCACACCGTCGATTTTTAGTTGGCTGATAGTTGTGCCCGATTTTAAACTGTATGAAGAATCGGCCAAATCGAATCGGCGTAGTGTGTGTATGGGATACATGCCCATACTGATCAACTGCCCGCCTAAACTAACGGCCAATTAAAAATCAACGGTGTGCGCCTACTCTTATCTTAAGATTGCATAGGTTTTGTTGCGATCTCTGATATTGATCAAAAAGTAAATCGTTAACTACTCGTACGTAAGAGACACACCTGTTTCGGTCGTGACGAGCATTGTCCATTTCTTATAGGTATGGAGAGGTACGGCCATTTCGTCGAACTCAATTTTGCAGTGGTCTATCAAGCCTTCATTTTAATCGTCCCAATTAATAACGAAATATCTACGTTAATAGAAAAACAATTTTATAACTGTCTATATTAATTTTACCTATTCAAAAATATCTTCATCAGGATAATTAAGTATGGAAATGGAGCATTTAAATAGTACAGATGAATTGGTTCCAATAAATTTGCTGGTAAACGTTTACGTGGAAAAGTTTGTTAAATGAAATCAGAGGCGATGATTGCGTTAAGTTGGTTAGAGTGCCTATCAGCAATTAATTAATTTCAGTATTGTCGAATAAAACAGGAATTAATGCGCTCTTGAGCCTGACCCAAGCCTGACCTTATTTTGTTTTTTTTTTTATATTTGGTAATTATTTTGTATTGAGTGAATGTCGAAGCCATGACTTCCTATTCCATTTGGATTGCCATAGCCGTTATTAAGTACTAAGAAAAGGACCGCTAGGGTGATAGGGAATGAAATAATGAAATAATTTTCTTCGTTTGTTCGTAACTTCCAAATCAATGGAGCCAAAATGTTTTAGTCATGAATCATACCTTTTAGTCTAACTGCCAAATAAAGGTATATTTCCTATATTTGGTAAGTGTCGCAGCCCCAATAGTTTCACTAATTTCGAGTGGCCGCGAACGAGCGAAACCGGGGCGTACGCCCGATTGGTCTTTGGCCTATCGGGTAATATGGTTATCAGTTTCCCAGTACACCAGGATCGGTAGCGGACACCTCATTAGGCCCGTCCGAGTGACCGCGAACATCATCGGGCCAGATCTGGGCCAATCACGAATTACGAGTCCATCCGAAAATGATATTTGAAAATGCTGTGTAAACTGCAGGTTTCCTTCCAGAAATTTCGAGGGATCCAGGGTCTATTTTGGTAATGTGATTGGGTTTCTGGTCCACAGCACCGCTTGGCGGTTGTCGCCAGGGCTAAGGCTTCAGCTTGGCCGCCCGCCCTGCTTAATCTCCTTGTACATTAGGAATCTAGTGCAGGTACTGAGTAGATTCGGTTTGTAGTACGTGTAACAATTTATTTAAGACGATACGATGTCTATTATAGTCAAGTTTTCTTCAAAACCAGTTTCGGTGGTGGATTTGAATTCTGTTGGGATTATCCGCATTTCTATCCGGGGTCCTGGATAGATGTAGGTAAAGTATTAAGTAGGTGTGTTACCAGTGATAACGTATGGCTCGGAAACGTGGCCTCTCACTATAGGCCTTATACAGAAGCTCAAAGTTGCACAGCGTGCTATGGAGAGGGCTATGCTTGGTGTTTCTTTGCGAGATCGAATCAGAAATGAGGAGATCCGTAAACGAACCAAAGTCGCTGACATAGTCCGACGTATTAGCAAGCTGAAGTGGCAATGGGCAGGGCACATAGTACGCAGAACTGACGGCCGATGGGGCAGAAAGGTTCTGGAATGGAGGCCGCGTACCGGAAAACGCAGCGTGGGACGTGCACCTACAAGGTGGACCGACGACATCGTAAAGGTAGCAGGGAAGCGCTGGACGCAGGCCGCTACCAATCGATCAACATGGAAAGCATTGGGGGAGGCCTATGTTCAGCAGTGGACGTCCTGTGGCTGAAATGATGATGATGATGATGATGATGCTTACCTACTTCCAGGACCAGGACTCCGGATATCCGGATATAATATTATCCGTAGCCATAGTATAGTGGTGGTGGTAAGCCTTTAGATACAGAGGTCCGGGGTTCGATTCCCAGTGGGAGCAGTTTCTTCTGTTCGGGTTTGTTGGTGGTAGGGCTTGTTGGCGCTCCTACGCTTAAACTATTGATTTCACAAAAAGGTTGTGTAGACATCAAAAATAGGTATTTTTCTCTAGTTTTAGTTTCTCTAAGCATGTTTTATCATAAAATTAATCCGAAACGAAACATTTAAGAAAAACTGCTACTAGACAGCATTTTTCCAATATGGCGACGCGCGCGGCAACCATACTTAATAAAATACAAATGAATTCGTGATAAAATAATAAAGCAACATGAATCAACATCATTATTAAAATAATAGTTACATAACTTTAATTCTCGCTTTTTTGTTTTAAACTCACATTACCATCTAGTACAAAGAAAGCAGCCATAACATGAATTTACATAATATGTACTCGTACTATGAACAGCTTATTGGAAATTATATTTATCTTAAAGAAGCAACATATAGTAACAGCTTTGAATCTTTGCTGTCTGCAAGAAGTAACTATATTTTACTTGTGAAATAGTAACTGTATTAGTTGTTAGTCTTAAATTACATTATGTGTTTATTTGGAATAACCTATTAAAGGTTTCTAAGGCCCTTTGAAAATCAGTGGACGCTATTTTTACCTTTAATAACCTTTAAATAGGTAAGAAATTCTTTCTTGAAAGAAGAACGGTCATCTGTGACCCNAAAAAAAACCCAGACCCGACAGAAACGAGACATACCTCAGTTTTTTTGTCATGTCTTAATTAGTTAAATTATATATTTTTTATATTCGAAATCGATGTATAACACCAAAATATTACCCTTTGTTTTTGTTCAGGCGTTATACAAAAACTAATACAAAATGCCTATTTATCACCAAAATTGGTAAATGTATGTACCTAAATGTCTATTACAGCTGCTATGGAATGTATCTAGGTGACCTGGAGATACAGCTGGATTATACAGGGTGGAAACGAGAAGTTACAAAATCCAAAAATTCTGTGTTACCAGCTTCCATAATCTGTAACCTATTATTGGTACCATTTGAAAGAGCTCGTGAAGCACTTTCAGAATCAGTTACTAGTTTTTCGATATCTTGTATAGTTTAGAAATAATCGAGTGAGATCACTTATTGTTCCATATGTATAACCACCCTGTATAATCCGGCTGTATATCCAGGTCACCTAGATACTTTCCATAGCAGCTGTAATAGACATTTAGGTACATACATTTACCAATTTTGGTGATAAATAGGCATTTTGTATTAGTTTTTGTATAACGCCTGAACAAAAACAAAGGGTAATATTTTGGTGTTATACATCGATTTCGAATATAAAAAATATATAATTTAACTAATTAAGACATGACAAAAAAACTGAGGTATGTCTCGTTTCTGTCGGGTCTGGGTTTTTTTTGTATGGGGCGTGACCGTTCTTCTTTCTGTTCTACTTATTGTGATACGTCTATTCGATGTTACTTTCTACTTCTTTCTTTATTTATTAGAGAATAAAAATTATAATAATACATTAACTTAAAATGACTTAAAAACTAAAATTAAAAATTACTTTCTATTTTTCGTATTTATTTCATTCTAAGAATACTCTTATATCTAAAGAAACGTTGGACTGTCGTAGCAAAAATGAGCTGGCTGATGAATGTAGACTGTGGCTCTCGGACGCATAAGTAAGTACGAAATGCACGTTGCATAAGAGCTTTAGGATTAAAAGCGGTAGGTGCGGGCTTACAGGCCTGTCCACCCCGAAGATATAGGGGGGCACGAGTCTATTGAGATATTTCCGATATTGGTGATATTGGTTGCTTTGATGAGAAGCAAAATACACATTTCGCGTTGCAAAAGGGATTAAATACTATCTGTCCGATCGAGCTGATTCAATCCGAACGATTCTCCTGTTGTGTCCAATCTGAATATTATATTGTGAGCCGGTGCATTTGTCTAATATTAAAATGATGGGTGAGACTATTGTACTTGATCACGTTCTAATGGCTGGCCAGATTAAGAAAAGACCACGGGACAGCCGCGTGGCTTGAGGCCGCGTGATGGGAACTATCAGGACTTATTCAGCGTGGCCGCGTTCTATAATCAAAATCAAACATATTTTATTCAATTTTGACCACTAGTGGCACTTATGAACGTCAAAATACAGTAAAAAAAGGTAGCCCTTACGGGGCACTTTAATGTCTCCTTATCCTTTGGGCTCTACCAGCGCTTCGAGACAAACATTTATGGCAAGTGCATGGCTAAAAGTACTTACTGAGTTACTACCTATAGTTTAAACTTAGACTACGTTACATTCATTCCTTAGAATGTTTAAGTCGCTTATACAGGGTGTTAGGTAAATGGGTATATGAGCTTAATGGGTATTTAATATCATCATTTTTTTTTAAATTTTCATACAAAATAAATTTTATAAAATCCGATTTGTATGAAAATTAAAATAATTAAAATGAAGATATAAATTTCTGACTTCACCAAACCATTTATATGACCATCTTAACATGGGCTAGTGTCGGCTCATATACCCATTTACCTAAAACCCTGTATATGACATGATATACTCGTAATATCTGAAATTACGTAAATACGTAAACACTTTTATATTAACCGGCAGACAGTGGTGACTGAGTTTGTTGCGGCGCTTCTTCTCAGCACTTGCCAAATGTTGGTCTCGAAGCGCTTGGTAGGGTAAAAAGATTATGAGACATGTAGAGGCTCCTTAAGAGCAAAATGACGATTTGTAAGAACTATTTATTAGTCTAAACAAATAAAGAAATTTTGACTTTTGACTTTTGACACTGCACTAATTATTCGTGACAGATTAATTTCACAATTGGTTCGTGGAATGAATGAAGTAGCTTGATAAAAAAAAGTCTGAGAAATCTTATAACTATATAAATAAAAATGAATTGTTGTTCGTTAGTCTGATTAAAACTCGAGAACGGCTGGGCCGATTGAGCTGATTTTGGTTTTAAAATGTTTGTCGTAGTCCAGGGTAGGTCTAAACGGTGAGCTAATAAGGAAAAATTGCGATTGTTTATTTATTGTCTTTAAGGCGGAACAGAGTTCGCCGGGTCGGCTAGTAATAAATAAACTCAATGAAACGTAATCACAAACGATTATCAACCTATTCGAGGAAGTACTTGCATTCAAAACGACTTTTGAATTATGGGATAATTATATGGGACTACATCTATAAGAGGTGTCTGCGGATTAACATTACTAATCAGAATAGAATGTACCCCAGATTTTAAGTTAGGTAACTCATTACCTGAAATGAAAGTCATTTCAAAGACTCTACTACATAAAAATTAACTCGGTTCTTTTAAAAAGATACAAGACTTTAGTCTGGATTTTTCAACTCTGAAATGAAAGAAAAAACACTAAATGAATTAGGTAAATTATTGAAACTCCCTTGCTTCCGATTAAATCACAGACTATGGCACTATTAATGTGGCAATTAACACTGTATCCGACTTACATAAAAATGCACTATTTCAGGTCGATCGAACTTAAAACGAATGAATCAAATGAATTTGCAAGGATCAATGGCCTTAAACAGACACTAGGCCAGTCGAAGACCAAAAATAAAATGCATGGACTTAGATTTGAACATAAATCTATATACATTATAGACAAGTTGAAATCTCAAATAATGAGGTTAACGTTCGCTCGGAGGAACCAGTTTTCGTATTAAAAAATATTATAAACAAATTCGCTACAGCCAATAACTTCGTAATCAACATATCAGCATAGCATTAGCAACGGTTGCAATCCAAAAGGAATACTAAAGTAGGGCAAGTGAAACCAAAAATAGTTAAACATGTTTATTTAAAAAAATATTAAAACTAAATTAATCTACCGTATAACATATTCGTAGTTAGAGAATAATTTTTATATAGCCTTAGCCAAGAATGTTTTAAAATCATTTTTATACAACTAATACAACACTCATTAAGTAGTTTCAAAGTAGTTTCGCACTGGAATCAATCACATAAAAAATATCGATGTATTATTATGTCCTAACACAAATGGTCATTTAGTTACTTGTTTTTATGTGCGTATTGTTCTTACGTAGGTACCTACCTTTGCGTATGCGTATGGTACATATGCGTTTGTATAAAAAAATATGTAGGCACCTACCGTTTCACTAAACTTAGTTACAGTAAAAATCACACTCATTAAAAACACTGTCTCGCCAACTAAAAACTATTTTCATTTGGTACGTTTCTAAAATAGATGTTTATTCAATTCATCTAAGTGGCTTATAATTCTATTATTTGTACAACTTTACGGCATGTCGCAACTTTCCTTTGTTATGGGCGTTGATGCACCCGAGTTACTCCATTGTTGGCGCCGCATGCACGAGTAGCCTCTGTCGACTGCACAGTCTAGTAACCTCAGAACAACTTGTATATCGGCCTCAAGAACTGATTCACTTGTCTGTTAATGATCTTCTGTGTCTTCTTGGGGTGCGCGAAGTAGTCCGCTAGAGCTGAGCCGAACCCGGACGCGGCGGCCGACACGGCGCTCTGGAAGGGCCGGTTGTACTGGCCCTGGTACGGGCCCTGGTTGTACGCGGGCTGCTGGTACCCTCCGTAGCCAGGGTTGTAGCCGCCGAAGCCACCGAAGCCGCCGTGACCACCTCCGTAGCCGCCTCCGTGCCCACCGCCGTGCCCTCCGTGACCACCGCCGTGGCCTCCGTGACCACCGCCGTGGCCTCCGTGTCCGCCGTGACCACCGTGGCCGAACCCTCCGTGACCATGACCGTGACTTTGGCTTTGGCTCTGGCTAATCTGAATCGGGAAGGCAGGAGCAATGGGCGCGATCGGAGCCACCGGAGCGGCCACGGGCAAAGCCGCCACCCCACAGCCGAAGAAGTAGTTCATCACCGGCGCAGACACGTATGTGTAGTCGTGGAGTCCAAAGAACTTTTCTCCAAACGTCTTCCCGTATCCACACCCTCCTCCATTCTGCTGGTGCTTCTTTCGCTTGCGATGTTTCCTCTCTAAGTCCTCATTATCTTCGACGTCTACCAGGTCCTTAGTAGACGGTTCTTCTGCTGCAACTAGCGCAGCCGCACAGCACAGCAAGAGCATCACAAATAGTGATTTCTGGAACAAACAATAAGCGCATACTTGAACCGGATCTCTTCACGCATTGATGCAATCTGTCGTAAGATCGGATCTGAGTCAGTAATTGGGTAATTCAAAATTCACTTACCATTGTAGAGGCTGCTGGAGGCTTGGAGTCGTTCACCAGGGCTGGTGGTCTGAACCCGACTGCCGGCCAGGGCTCGGATGCCGAAAGTGAAAGTGTGTTACGGATCCTATACTATAATAACGTAACTGTTGACAAATAATGCGGCCATTCATTCGGACCGGCAAAGCATGGGAGTATATTTATTTGGCAATTCGCTTTGTATGGATACTCCGATCAGCATGTGAGCTAGGAATTACTCAACTCAAAACAGATTGGATGAAATTACTATGACGGCCATGTTTGTCGATGATATATGTTGCATGGTCATTATTTTTCCAACAATTATTCACTTCAAACAGGGTAAACTAGGTCACAAATTAAAGATTCATTCACCTATGCTCTTTCAAAATGTCATTGTGAATATGTAGGCCAGGTAATTATTTTTACTAGGAATATAGATAAAACACAGTTCCCAATGGATGTCGAATTAAAAAGAATTGTGACAAACCAATTAACAGGCTTCGAGAATATATCAAAAAGGGAAAGTTCGAACTAAAAACCAGGTCAGTGTGAGAAAAATACGAATGGCGACCTACGTCAGAAATACTTTATGTGCATCGAGAGTCAAGTACTTAGCAGTCGTAAAATGCGACTGCATACAACATAGTGTAAAACAATCACTTCATGCGATGTTTTGGAGTATATAACATGGAATCATGATTTTACCGCTGTCTGTAGAATCCTCAGAGCGCAATGTTGTTTGGTTGTAAGTACATTAGTGACCGACCGAATATTCGTTTTCGTTTTCGTTTTCGGCCATTTTCGGCCAAAAAATGGACATTCGGCCATATTTTCGTTTTCGGCCAAAAACCAGCCGAAGCTTCGGCCAAACCGAATATCAGAAATACGTGAATAAGATGGTGACGTTTATCGTTCCGATATCTTCGGGAGTGAATCTGATGCACTCATGGTTCACCACACCTCACCACACACGGAGAGTACCTCGATGGAGACACTGAGGACTATTTTTTCTAGCCGCCTCGGTCATCAGATCTCACACCATGCGACTTTTTCTTGTGGGGATATCTCAAGTCAAAAGTTTACAGCAAAACAATCCTTAAATAATTCAGGTTCTGTAAGAAAATATCCGCCGTGAAGTTGCAGGAAAATTATTAGCGCGATTTGCTCTCACATAGTTGCGAATGTAAGGCTGTGAGAGTGCCTATAGTAAAACGGGCATCATTTAAAAGATATTGCCTATAAAAAAATAAATCCGCATTGTTAAACTTCAGTTTGCATTAGTAATAAATAATAAAAAATCATTAATTTATTTGTATGAATCATTTTTGAAGTTGCAAAATTCCCACTGGACACCCTTTATTTCTTCTTCACTTCCCAATATTTCAATATACACCGGAAATAATATTCTACTAAGAATTCATAATTCAATTTTTTGTGTTTTAATGCCGGTTTTCTTTAATCAATCCTTATCAAAAACAACTGTCAAACATCATTATGTTTTTGGTCAAAACATTAACGGTTTTCAAAGTTTTTACATAATTTCAGATTGAAATTTGAGAGTTGAAGGTCATTTTCGTTTTCGTTTTCGTTTTCGGCCGAAAATGAGACTGCAGCCGAAGCTTCGTTTTCGTTTCCGTTTTCGGCTGAAAATCCATATTCGGTCGGACACTAAAATACATATTACATGGAACCTATTACGGATTTTAGACCTAATTTATAATTATATTATAATATTTTGTTTTTTATTATTAACGTTGTTGATATGAAATGACAATGCATATAGAAAAGCAAAAAAAATTGAGATAAGAAAGAAAAAGTATATGAAATAAAAGTACCTAGGAGAAACGACATAACCGGATCCAAAAAGTCATAACAACAATGCTAACAGCATTGTTGTTTTCCGGCAGTTAGAGGTAAGATAGCCAGTTCCTCCGTGGTTGAGGATTCCGGGTGAAGCTCGCTTCCACTATCGGCCTGATCATCACTTACCATCAGGTGAGATACAGGTCATACAGGCCAAGAGCTTCCTCGTTGTGGATAAAAAATAAAATAATTGAAAAGCTAATTTTTAAGAGTTGGAAATCCACAACGTTTTAGTGTATTGTTTACATTTATTTTGTTGCAATCGGCAGATGCCATTAAGTTAGTATTGCACACGCTGACAAGTTGGTGCCTTAATTAGCGAACAATAAGTCGTTTTTGGAAAAACCTTTTCGCAAACGTATCGTACCCTCTCGGCTCTCATGCAGTTTCATAAGTCAACAAGGCCCACGCATTTATAGTGAGGCGACTATTATCGATAAACATTATTAAGTAAATGTAAACAAAAATTGAATTAATTAACAATGAGACGTTAATATATAAGTTAATGACAAAATATAGTTACTGCGCATTTATCTTGAGAATTTTTAAGGGAGCTTGTATCATTATTAGACGTAAAGTGTACTCGTAAATCGTAATTGATGATGTTGTTATAGGGATGTTATGGATATGTAGTTTCGGTTATGGATACGGTTACGGATATAGGAATAATATTATATAATGTGTTGTATAGGATAGGAATAATGTGTTGTAACTGTTAGAACTGTATTTATTTTTGGATAGTACTTGTAATTTAATTTATCATGCTGTGTATACTAATTTTGGCTTACGGTCCAGTATGTAATTAACACTTTTTCTTTACGATGAAGCCTAGACTGTAAACTGTTTGTATACCTATTACAAATAAATAAATAAATTATACCGGTTACGGTTACGGTTTTTTTTATTCGGATATCCGAAAGTTTCGGTTACGGTTACGGATGTCTGTGCTTTAGAATGCAATTTGAAATAGTTGTCCAACACGGTTCATTCATGACCGCACACTTTACATCGAATAAAAAGTCATAAAAAAATAAAAATTGATACTAGATGGTATTATAAAGGTAAATCAGGCTGTTATGCCTTTACAAACGAAAGCTATACAAAAATAAATAAACCGCCTACATCTGAAACTATCCGAAACTTTTGAATCGGTTACGGTATCGTATCGGATATTTTTTTATTTTGGATATCCGAAAGTTTCAGTTACGGTTTCGGATATCCATTACATCCCTGGTTCTTAGGAAGTGTTTGAGTAAATAAGATACACATTTTATACTATGGTAGTTAGTAGTGAAACTTAGAAAGATAACTTTTATCTCAACGATCAGGTTTAGTTTGTTTATTAACTAGATAGTCATTGAAAATGCCAATCCGTCAAAATTGTAGAGTGACTCTTAAAGACCGCCCCTACTAGGATTATTACAATGATAAATTCATTCTCATAATAACACTATTCATAGTATGTATTAAGATTGGATCCTGTACCGTATGTGTATGTCTTTAACACCTAAATACTTGTAATACTTAAGCTATTTCTCCCAAAAATTTATGACAAATATTTTAATCACTGTGATTGGTTAATAACATTGAAATTCGGATAAAGATAAAACAATTTTATTAGTATCGATAACTCGATATCGACACTTGGCAGCGCTAGATGCGCGCGCGCAAATCTCGGTCACCGCGCGACCTTGACTCGCGGGCGGCCGACCGCGACACACGCGTGCACCCGGCTCTGCGCGCCGTGATGAGACATGCCCCGTTATGGTACAGATAGTGCTTCAGTAAAATAGAAATATTAACAAATTGTTGGGGGTTGCGACAGATTATTTAACTTTCCCCCGGGACAAACTTGACCTTAGAGTTTTTATTGGCGGTCAAGCTGCAGTTGCAGCGGTGAGAACGGGACGTAGGAAACTGGGAATTAGTCCATGTTTAAACATTTCCCCTTTTCAAACATCTTCTTCATGGGCTAACTATCCAAAACTCTGGAAGAGAGCGTTTTCTTACAATAAGATCTTCTGATCTATTTTGTTAAGCTAATCGTATAAATAATAATGTTCATTTCGATTTGTGTAAGAGTAGGTAACTACATACATATCCATACTTACTAATATTATAAAGAGGAAAACTTTGTTTGTTTGTTTGGTTGAGCCTATCAAAAACTACTGGACCGTTTTTAAAAATTCTTTCACCATTTGAAAGCTACATTATCCACGAGTAACATAGGTTACATTTTATTTTGGGAAAAAATATGTAGTCCTCGCGGGCGAAGCTACGGGCGGAAAGCTAGTGTACAATATACTTAGTGTGATGTAACTTGTCTCGTTCGAATCTTGCCCCAATCATTACTACTACAACTTTCACTTATAAAGCTCACACAAAGTTCAATGCTGAAAGCTGTTTAGGATATATAGCTGACCTGCATTAGGAACAGAGTATTGCTCTACTTCAAAACATACATATTCATAAATAAAACACCGTAAACATAAAGACGCTAGGTAGCTAGATCATATTTTGCTTCATACATAAGTATAATATGCCACACAAGCATGTCTCTACCATCTGTTTCTTTTTATTTTCCTGCTTACAGATTGAAAAACCCACGAAAAAAATGGGTTATCAACCCTAAAGTTAAATAACTAACTGACTGCTTAAATTCTACCTAGGGTATCGAACTGCCTTAGGCGGGACTCAAACCCACGCCTCGACCGCTTGCCGGGCGACTGCTCTTCCAACTGAGCTACTTAGACACTGGATGAACCTGTCGAAATTTTCAAGTGTTATACGCTGTTACGGCGGTGTTTTAAGACTCAATTCGCTAAGAATTTTTACTACCTAGGGTAGTCTTTCTTGGTCTTCTGCCCATGACGACCTGCCCCAGCTCGGAGCCTGAAGGGAAAGTACTCTTAACATAGAAAAACTTACTCAAAGAAAACGTTCCTTTATTATTGAACTAGCTTTTATAATTATTAAACTTATTTGTAATATCTAGTAACGGAAGGCAAATTCAAGCAAACTACCGACATATCAAAAGTTTGACAAAGTTGGAGAGTAGTCTCGGAGTAACTACCAACTACGTAACTACTCGGAGGAATTTAATGCAGTATTTATTAGAAAAAGATATTCGTCGCATGTGTTATTGAGGACATCTGGGACAAAAATAGCTTACAAAAGCCTTACAAAACCTTCATTCATCTTTAAACCAGTATCACAATGCTATTTTGTGTGCTGAAAACGTACGTGTTGTGACATTGCGATATTAAATAAATAATAAATAAATATCCTTAGACATTTTACACTGCGCTTCTAGTCTCAAACTAAGCAAAGCTTGTAGGTACTATGGGTACTAGACAACGCATATAAACATACTTAAATACTTTTTTTGTAAATACATAACTTATTATACATAGAAAACACCCAGTCCAATACAAACAAATATGTTCATGCACACAAATGTTTGTACTGTGCGGGAACCGAACCCGCTACCTCCGGAATTGTAGTCCGTTTCGAACCACTACACCAAACGGCCGACATTGATCTCTACATTTGATCCTCGGGACAGAATTAGTTCTAATTTCTAGTAAACTACATAAAAAGTCAACTGTTTATGTTATTGTTACATAATTCCACATCCCGAGTCCGCACAATCTTAAAGATTATATTCTAGAAGCACGTACCTGGCATCGGTGGCAAAGGAGACAGTGCTGCCACTTATGGCGCTGATCTCCACCCGCTCCTTGGACTTCATGGTGTCTTCACCTGCACACAGAACACGCCATTACAACCCATACATAAGCGGACCACACACTACTTAATCAGTAACAATGACATCAATATTACTGTCATTCCTTCAGTAATGACATTTTATGACATTCTAAGGCCCAGTTTTTTTATTCAGATTTAAAAAATAACTAATTGTTAATTGCTACTAATGGTTAAATATTAACAAAATGTAAACTAATAGTTAAAAATGTACTAAAAGTCAAGCTAACCATTGTTCGTAAAACATTTTTTTCTGATATTTAACCACTTGTCATTTGACTTCTGTCAAATTTGACTGTTGGTTATTTTAACTACGAATCAAAAAACTGGGCCTAAATCTCTCCACATACAAGTAACCTTGTCGCACTATAACCTTCATTCCTACCACCCTCAGATCATAGAAGATGATCTGAACTACCACCACACTGTCAGTCTTAATATCTGGTACATACGCTATACACTATATTAATATAAATACACTCTACTAAGCCAATATAACGATTGACGGCGACTACTAGTCGCACAAAACTAGATATTTGTCCACTGATACTAGCGATTGTTTATTAATACAAAGTAAATATTTGCAGTAGGTTTATTTGTTTCAGTTTGTTTGTTCGCGTTAGATCATTAAAAGATCAACAATGCAGAAAAATACTCGTACTACGAGTAGGTATTATGGTTAGCAGAGAGAACTAAAGGAGTAGATACTTTTAAAACAGTTTCTCTTATTCATTTTTCATCCAGGTTTGTATAAACTTTTGGAAAACCCATAAACAAGTACTCGTAAAGTAACATAATAATTTAATATAACGTTTTAGGGTCCCCGCACACTTACCACCGGCCACAACCACAAAACCGACGCCACTGGCATATTTACACTCATTTTCGGAAATGTATGAAAACTATAGGAAATATGCCGGTGACGTCATTTTGTAGCTGTGGCGTGAAGCCCGTGTGCGGCGACTCTTTTTTATAAATTTTTAGTGCAGTAGGTACAACATGGCGAAATTTATGTTAAAATTGGCGTGAGTCTTTTGGTCTTTCACAATAGCAAGAGTTTAATCACCATGATGCCATTGACATAAAATGGCGGTCGTTAATAAACGTCGTAAATTAAATAGATGTCATTGGTTTCTGATTTACTGCGAAAGGCGCAGAAGGCTTACCCGACAAAATTCATCTTAAATGTCTCTAACTATAGAGTTTAAGTTCGAACACCTTGTCTTAAAGATTGCATTTTACTTGAGGATTAAATATTCATGGCTTGAGTTCTAAAAAGTCAAGTTGTTCTTAGCAACAGTTATCATTCATTCGAGTGTCCAGTGGGTCTAGACAAAGTGCAAATTATAATCGCAAACCAGTCGAAAAGTGGTCGAAAAGCACCTTTTTTGTATGGAGTTTTGACGGATTCGATTTTCGATTCGATCAAAAAGTGCGTTTTGTCTAAGGGGGCTGTTCTAACCTCTCATGACATGCGGTCGTTTGTCTGGATTTTGACCGAGTTTATAAATCTCAGATTTTATTCAATATTTGCATTTATTGATTACACCTCTTTTTCTAAAATGCTTATCTTAAAAGTTTTCGTCAGGAAAAACTATGCCCGCGGTAATTATAGCCAGCGGTTGCCTTTTTCGACTTACGCTGTGGAACACGCGTTGCAAGTGACGAGTACTACTTGTATTTTAATTCATTATTAAGTAAAATTATTTACTTAAATAGTACCTAAAGTTACTCTAAAAGAAGTCCTCTTTTTGGGAAATCTTCTTACCCTATTTCCATTGTAACCTAATCATATTCGTAAATGCATGTAACAAATAATTGCTAGTTCACAGAGGTGTGCCAAGACGACCGGGCAACGAATAACATCAAATTAGCCGGCTAAATGAACCACGTCGTTGTATTTTTTGTGCATCAACGATTGCTAAAACGTTTAAACATGTGTCAAATGCAATTTGCTTCAATAAGGAACGTTTTGTTGGCTTGTCGCGGTGTTAATAACTAACGCCAAAAATGTCCATCTATCTATAATATATTGTATATCGTGTAAAAGTGCTTTTAAAAGCCTACTTGCAATAATAATTAGTTTTATGAGTTTTTTTTTAATATAAATCATATTTGGCAATAAATTCCAGCTTCTTACACAAGCAAGAATTAATTTATTTCGCATCCATAGGTCATTTTAGAAATGTGCATTTTCTTCTAAATGTGACCTTGTTGTCTACGCTTCATATTCAAGGAAACTAAGAGTCGCCTTGCATGTGCTTTACTCTCTTAACTAGCTTTTGCCCGCCGCCTTATTCGCGTGAATTTAAAAAAGTACGCACATCGCACACACAGTACGTAATTTCCAAAACCTTTTTTCCCTGTGTGACAAACTATCTCTATACCTACCAAATACTACATTGGTTAAATAGTGGTTTAGGCGTGAAAACGTAAATAATCTTACGCATTCACAAACGATGCTTGCTTCGCAAATCGAACGCACAGCGTTGAGTAGAGCTCTGTGATTGGTTCGTGTGTCACCCTGTGCGTCCACGCGCACTGTGAGACATCATAGTAATGTTTGTGAATACGGGTGTTAGTAGAGATTTCGTATGGCAAAGGCCGAACTGAAGACATGGCTAACGGATCAATTCAACCCAAATTCAAATTTAAATTCAAAGACCGCGATACTAATGTCGTATTACCTTGTTAATATGTTAACGAGACCAACAGGTTCTTTATTGAGTAACTAAGTAAGTTACTGTGTACTTTAGTTAGAATACATTAAGATTCTGTAACTTTTATCCTTATAGATGGTGGTCACACAGGTTATCTTCATGGTGGAATTTGCAGGTAGTTATTTTTGCTTTTAGAAAACTTGATATATCTTAAATATGTGGAAAATACATTAGAACCTCTCCATTACTTATTTCTAATGGTATTTCCATTCGAAAGATTTGCAGGTAAAACGTTTTAACTACGAGATGCTGTTGATATAATTGTTTGTGATACAAATCGTCTAAGAACACAAGAACAATTAATTTAATTACACATAATCAAGTTCGCCTTCGCCTGGTTCCGATACCATCGCAAATGGCTCATTTACACTGCGCGGAAATTAGCCAAGTCAAGTCAAAAAGACAGTGGGATGGGGATGAAAAAAGACAGTGGGGTGGGGATGAAAATCATTATTTTTTCATCCCCATCCCACTGTCTTTTTGACTTGACTTGGCTAATTTCCGCGCAGTGTAAATGAGCCTAAAGAATTATAACTAAACGCAAGCGCAGCACAGAGCTGGTCATAACATTAGGGCAATGCTGGCCGAACATTCGCATTGTTGATTTATTTATTTTATTCAGAAACTCAACAGCTATAACTACCTATTTCTTTTTAAAATATTTCATTCGTTAAAAGCATAAAAGTCAATCATTTTCTGTCAATTGGCTTTTGTAAAGCTATTTTACTTATTAACAGAAAAATCAATAAATAAAATTCTATTCTATTCTAAAGGCGCGTTTGATCATCATCATCATCATCATCATCATCATCATCAGTCCGACCTCTCTAATTAACATTAAATATTTTTAATTTACTCATAAATGTATTTTCCAAAGCAAGCTTCACGACAGCACAGTGCAATATATAGGTACTGTGTTGTGGCAGATTTATAGAAAGATATTTTTTATTTTAACGAGATAATTAATATTAGAGAATTAAGCTTGAATTACCTATACGATCTTTTGAACCACAGGCAAATGATTCCAGCACGTTTAAAAATGTTTTATTCAAATACTTTCTTTTTTGTTTCAAGCAAAGCCCATAAATAGGTAATTGTAAGTGGCTAAGGCTGGGTTGCACCATCTTACTTTAACTTTGAAAACGTCAAAAATCTGTCAAACTCTATACAAAAAACGCCGGTTATCGTGTAAGTTACGGTCAAAGTAACGTGGTGCAAGTCAGCCTAAGAATCTTCTAAGGCGGTTATCACACTGCGCCGCGCTCCGCCGCGGAGCGCGGAGCGACAGATTTAATCATTGTATGCAAGTAAGTACCTCAGTTTGTATAGAAAACACGCGCGGCACTTCACACTGACAACGCGTCCGCGCGCGTGATTTTTTATATGAAAATCACGCGCTCCGCGACGGAGCGCGGCGCAGTGTGATAACCGCCTAAGACTTGTAAGTAGGATTTGCTAATAAATCAAATATATCAAGTCGCCAACAGTTTGAGCTAGATAATTATATTAATTAAGTTAAGACTACCACCTGCCTGCAACGTTGTAAGTTCTGCCAACTATGTTAGCGATACTAAGTCAGAATCTGAATTATTTGCTCACCGAACACGAGTAAGACTCAGCACTAACCACGGTCAACAAAGTTTCCAAACAATAACCTGATCAAGGTTATCGCAAACTATGGAAAACACGACATAGATCGAGCGCGATAGAGCGAATACTTCACGCTTCGAGAATGGCATTTATTACGAAACAGCTGCTGTATAATAAAACCGATTACACGTGCTCATGCGCACCCTTACGGTTGATACCGGTAATCAAACTTCAGGCTGGAATTTGATTCATGAGCAAGCAAATGTATGGAGTATTTACCAAAAACTTTTGAAGGCCAGATTAGTAAATTATTCCCTGTAACTTAGAGGAAAACTGTTGCAAAAGTAGAAGGTAAAATCGCAAATATTCTTGAAAAATTCCTAGTGCGTAAAGATGTTGGAACCGGATTCTATTTTACATCCATTCTTAGCACGCATTATTATCATGTTACTTTCCATCATACCAATGGAAATACCGATGGATGAAAGCCTGTATCTGAAGAGTGTAAACTTTACAGAATAGATACCAATTCGAACGATATTTTTTTAAATCTTATTCAGGTCAGCGAAGCGAGAAATAAACCGAAGTATATTGCAAACTTTGATACTGATTTAAAAAACATGGACATGTTTATTTTTATCAACTTGGCCGAACTCTGACTTGTAAAACGAATTGCAAATTCATCGG